AGAGAGAGAGAGAGAGAGAGAGAGAGAGAGAGAGAGAGAGAGAGAGAGAGAGAGAGAGAGAGAATTCAGGGAGCAAAAAACAAAAGCGTCAAAATTCGAACGGTGAATATTCATTGATCTTTGGAGCATAGCGTTTGCGTTTCAAAATGGAATGAACATCGAACAAATGAACGCTGTAACCGTAGCGTAGTGTAAAAGGAGAAGGGACAGGCTTTAGGAAGTCGAAAGCGGAATATAACGTTTGTTAAAGCTCCGTGAATAGCAAATAAAGCGAAAGGCGGCAGGAGCAGCGATGCGCTCGACTGGTGTGTAACGGTCTCGAATGTAATTTTACGAGCACGACGAGTAAAGGTAGCTTTGGCTTGGCTACATCTGATACTATGCTCCAATAGTAGTAGCAGCAGCGGCGGCGGCACCAGCAGTAGTAGCGTATCTTGCAGACACCAATCTAGTTCTAAGTTGGCTCTGACGATAATGCACCCAGCTCGAGTTTCGCGTAGGGCAGAGTATTACGCTAAGCCGCTTGGTGGTTCGGTAAGTCGCGCATGATTATGATTAAAAGCGCCGTGGACATTCATTGGCGCGCGCACACTCACTGCTGCTGCTACTATCTCTCTCTTTCTCTCTTTCTCTCTGCGTCTTGATTAACTTCATTCCGTGAACACTATCCGCGGCTAATAAAAGATTAGACGCCTGCCCAACCAGAGTTATAATGTCTATCTTATTATTATACAGATTTCTGAAGCAGAAATTTAGCCTCATCTTCTTGTCAAGCACCAACGAAGCACAGCGAAACGTAATAAGCCGTCTGTGTTTTTGTTCTCGTGAATTAGATCTGTTAATTTCGCGGAAATTAGTTTTGAGTTGCGCACAACTTGCGGCAACAGCACATGACTTGACTCAAGATCTAGTTGCAGGATGCATTATGAATGCGTCAAGTTTAGAGTTGCAAGGAAAGTTAAGGAAGAGCGAATATTAGTCTGTATTATGTTTGTATGATTAGATATTATCTGATATTTATTTCTCAGTGAATATCTATTTTTTGATAGGAAAGTCAATGCTCAATTGAATCAACGTTTCCGTACGGCGTATGAGTCGCCAAGACGATCTTTGTCAAGTGATAAATTCTAAACAACATCAAAGTCACCGTCATGTCTACGTTTCAAAAATCGTGAAGCAGTCTATCTTCGCCTATCGAATAAAAGCGCTTCCATATTCAACCGCGTTATACGTCTGCTATTCGAGGAGAGAAGGAGTAGGAGAAAAAGCGAAGGGAGAGGGATAGTCGAGGGAGTAGTTAAAAAAAAAGAGTGCACTCGAGGCCGCTATTTACGGGCACGCGATTCAAAATCTATAACCCAGCGAATTTTCAAGCAGCTTCCAGCCCGAAGCGGTGTGTGCGGCGCTCCTCGAATATTTATGCGGATTTCCATCCGGTTTTTTTGGTTCTCCTCGTGGGATTTGTCGGATTCGCTGGGAAAAATCGACGATGTAAAGGAGCTTGTTGCGATGTGTTGCGATGTCCTAAAAAGAATGAGATCAGATAAATAGAGAGAAGAGAGCGAGAGAGTGAGAAAGGGAGAGGGGAGAGGGCGAACAAGTCACTTGAGCTGATCGTTCGTGTGGTTTGGAACACAATCGCAATTGAAGTATGCTCCTCTTTGGTGTGCGTGCTGATGCAATGGCCTGTAGTGTAAGCTATGCGCTCTGATTTCTCGGATCTAACTCCTCATCTCATTTTCATGCCACCGTGTTATGCTTATTTGATCGAACTATCTTTTTTCGATAATTCGTAAACACGTGCAGCGATTGCTTTCGCGCGCTTTAATTTACAAACTTAATTGTTACGACTAATCATACAACAATTTGTTCAATCAATTTTTTAATTGTGAATTAGGATTGCATTACAAGTAATTTTAATGCTACACTATAGAATATTTTGATCAATATAACATAATTGCTTAAAATCCTTACGGTGTGCATTACTGTGCTACACGGCAACATACCTATATGAAACTTTGCATAGCCGCACTTTGCTACTTAATACTTGGAGGGTAGTTTAGATTTAAGTAGTTCCGTCCTGAGCGACTGTGCGGCCGCTTACAAACGAAAATGCTTAGGGTTCATAAGCTACATTATTTCTTACTACTTCTTGAGAAAACTCTTTGATAACGTTTGGGTTCTCTACACGTGCAACTATGTACTGCGGTGTTATATTTTAAGTTGAGAAAAACTTGCCTGAAAACTGTTTGCGTCAATAAAAATACTTTTTTCCGGAATAATTTAGAAACAGTGCAGAACATGAACTGTTATTGTTGTATTTATTCGCAATCTTTTCATCAGCATTTAATAATTGTGATTATAATTCGAGATTAAAGCAACTGACGAAACGTAAACCGAGCAATATGTATTAAAAATTTTTAATACGTACAGGCTATGTAAAATCGAATGAAAAGTACATTACATTGCGGCTTGCAATAAAGCAAATTGAAACAAAATATTCCCCAACGGAATAACATAATGAAGAACGGTAAACATAAACACGACATCGAAATACGATGCGGTTGAGGCGAATACGTGCTAGCGCTTCGCAAAAGCGCTCGAGTGTCGCACACGTTCGTATCGCAGCGTATGTTTCATTTCACTAATAATATTGAACTTCAGCCCTCCCCTTTCCCCCCTCTCTCTATTTTCGTCATATAATTTAAAATTAGCTCTCGAATATTCGCAAATACAACGCAAACATAATTCACCATATCAATATCGCGAATTTATAATAATAAATTCTACGCAGCTAACAAGCAAACAATGTAAATTGTCATATCTTTGTGGTTAGGTCAAGTTTATGCATAAATGCAAGAAAAGCTTTTATGCGAACAAGTTAAGAGGAAAAAAAAGCAAGTTATGCTAACGGTACTTTTAAATGGGCGGACGAGTATAGTATGCGTGAATGTCACAACGAACTTCCCTAGACAAATGCCACTTCTTCGACCGAATCCAATACGGACAATGGCTTTCGAAAAAGTCGTCCATCGAAAAGGGCGCGCTTTATTAGTGATCTACTGGCTGCGCGTATATAGCCAGGTAATAAATGACGGTTTTTCATTGTGTGGCCGAATATTTGCCGTAAAAGGACGATTTTCGTCAAATTTTGATGGAGAACCGAACTCATCTTTTGTAGCGTCGCGCTTGAAACTCTATTGATAATAATAGCCGTCAAACAATTAGGTGAATAGTGTAGAAATTCACTAAATATAATCTCGATATTCTTTTGAATTTACTTGAGAATTTCTAATGTTCGGAGGATGTTGCAAAGAGCAATTGATTGTGATATCAACGAATTCCTTCAATTTATCCAAGTTCACTAGGATTATTTAATAGAGTTAGAGTCAACAATTTTACTTTAAGACAGATTATTTTGAAATGCTAAAATCATGTCTGTATCGTGAAAATAATTATCCCATGGGAGAAGCTTGAAGACGCTATTCTTCAGAGCGATTAGAATCGCGCGACAAAATAATTCGCTGGTCCACATCGATAAAATAATCTTTTGTAGGGAAACAAAGGAGCCAGAAGCTAAAGCAGTATTGTTGAGTTATCTAGGTGGCACTCAAGAGCCTGCAATCTCCGGTAAGCAAACAAGAGAAAAGAATGGAAACCAAGGATATGTCGGGTCGCGAGCCGCCGGGTTATATAGCCACGAATCTGAAGCTAGCGGACATGCACAATGGCTTCTGGAAACTCACGTGCAAACTTCGAGGACGTTAGTTTCGGATTTGGCAGAGGGTTACGCGCGGAGGCTGCAGAAAAGGATTGGGCTTGAGGCCACCTGGAAATCGCTTTAGTCTTGCCGGCAAACTATCGGGTTAACGATAACCTCGTTGTTAAGGAGAAAGCCCCGTCGAGCGTAACGTGAGAGTGGCCTGCGCGGCAGGAACTCGCGCGCGAGCTGAGTTCGGATTAACGATAATTTCGTTGACGACGACGAAATCAACAACCACCACGTATACTCTCTATTGCGCGCTGCTTGTCCTTCCTAATTCTGTTGTGGTCCCTGACTCTCTTGCTCTCCCTAGCTGATAGACTTGCACTTGTCAAGTTTAATATCGTTGCATTCACTGAGGTGTTTTCGTTTTTCACTGAGATTATAAATTATCATTCCTTGGGATGAATTTCCGATATTGATGGTTGCAGCTATGTTTGTTCGTTCAATTCAAGTACAGTTTGGAGAATTTGAAATTGATTATCGGGTTAGTTACATCGATTACTACTAGCATCCGTTTTCGGAGAGAAGATTTATTTTTCGAATATGAAATATGAAATTTTCGAATATTATAGTGTGAAAAGATTATAATACAATACGCATAATTGAATAGCGTGATTTGTATTCATAATCTACATGTTTTATTATTTAAAAATTAGTTTTTATCGAAAAATAGCTTTTATGCAAAAGAAAATGTATACATCGTAATTTTATAAGTGTAGGATTTATTTTTAATTTATGTTATTATATACACGTTACAAAATTATTCTCATATTTCTGAAGAAAGTGGAATTAACGTATTATTTTAATGTAAGTGTCGTCGAAATGTTGATTTCACTTATTTCCTTTTTATTGACACACATGTTATTAAAGTTTTGCTTGTAAGTTATTGCACCAATTCGCATGTTGTAAATTATAGTCTTTTGCAATTTCTAACTTTATTTCAAGTTAAATTTCAAACTTATTCAAATTATAGAAAATTTGTTTCGTATAATTCCACTGTGCTGACAGCGCAAAACAACATGGAAAGTTATATTCTACGTTTCCCTTTCATTGTCTATGTAAAATAAGTTTTAATCAAAAACAACTAGAATTATATGACATTTTTGAAAAAACTTTGTATCAAAGCAAACACTTTTTACGTTATCTCCTCTTATTCTAAATGTTATTTATAAAAATATACATACAAATATACACCTAGGTATAGGAAAAAATAGATAACAAAATTTATACGTACTAGGAATAGCAGTTTCAGTCTTCTGCATGAGCTCAATATCGAGGCCATTAGATTTTGTGAGTTGTCCATCCGTAAAGGTCAACAGGGCACAATAAACAAAAACTATGATGTTTGATGTCATGTTGACCATTCAGTTGGCAAAACCTTTGAGAATCATGTTATTGTTGAATTTTCACACTTTAACTCACTGTCGTAGTTCACATAGAGTTTGTCAGTATTTGTCAAAATAAATTAGTCCATCACAAGTGTACGAATGAGTTAGCTTTTATTTATTCTTCACGTTGTAATATTTATTCAGTCCATTAGTTGTTCTAAAATAATTTAAATGATTGCTAGCCAAAATTGAATAAATTCATATTTTTAATGTTCATTTATTTATTCAAAGTATTGAATAATTTAATTACATAGTATTATGGTGCAATAACTGACCAATCTAATATTAAATTAATTAAATATTGAGTAAACACTGATTGACTATGTTTGCTGTTAATATTCATGCTGTTCGATAAATGCAAATATTCAATTGGTACATGCTCCTGTATTAATTAACAAAGAAAACAATTGTTTAGCCCATTTTTCGTATACCTTACAAATAGCAAAGAAAAACTTGGAATGAAAAGCAAACATGAGAAGACCATGTCTGTTTATCGTAGGAAATACTAAAAAAAGTTTTATCACGTGGTATTTCATGTATTTTATCGTGAAAAATGAATTCTACAAACTACTACTACGAGTATCCGGGAACCATGTGTATTCAATATTACTAAGAATAAAAATTAGCAATTAGTTACTGCAAACTCGGAGCGATATATTCAGGCGTATAATCGTTTACTTACAAGTTGCACTTGGTAAATACGAAATAGCTACAGTAGAATCTAGAGTATGTGTGGCCAACGATGAAGATTTAACGCGAATAATGTGGTTTGCCATGGTCGATTGCGCGAATCGAATCTAGCAGCAGTCGTAGTGCACGAAAGCGCGAATCTAGTTTATTACCGATGCGAGAAGCGCCTTGGCTTTTCCTGCTCGCGTTCGCCTCGCCACTGAAGCAAATAGAAGAAAACTCGTAGCAGACTGACGGCCAGGTTCCGGCGCGTGAATTCGATTGGCAGACTCCGGCGTGCGGAGGGAGGGAGCGAGAGAGAGAGAGAGAGAGAGAGAGAGAGAGAGAGAGAATGCTTGTAGACTATTCGATATTTCATATTTGTCAGAGTAGCGCAGGAAATTTTTCGAAGTGTACCACTACGCGTAGTGTTGCATTTATTCTTTGTACGGGAAATTGAAAAACGTAGCCCAAGGATGATAAAAAAAAGATTTTTGTTTCATGAATGAACTGTTGTGAAAAGATATGGACTTCTTTTTTTACTCGACATGTCTTTTTTTAAAAAAAGAATAATACCTACCAAAATCTTCAAAATTATCTTCCAAAAGCAGACCTCGTCTGACTATAATTGAGTTGTACTACTGGCTACAAAGCTTTCATCAATATTCTAATCTGAACGACAATATTTTTACCCTTGCGCGAATTGACGATTCAATACCTCGTTCAATGCAGTGCTTTTGCGCGCGTATATGTGTTTCTTTTTCAATGAGGAACAATGACTCGACATTCGCGAAAATCCATTTTTCTCCGTGTGTGTGCAGCAGCAGAGAGAGAAAGATAGGAAGAGCGAGAGAGAAAGAGCGCGAGCTCGTAACAAAATCGTCGTAGTGCTGGTCTTCCCGGACGCTGCGTTTTCCCCTCAGCCACACGGAATTCTATTTATCGTATAAAAAGACTATGCGGTTCGCAAACTTCGTTTAATTATCTTTTAAATTTCTTTCCCTCCCTTTCTCGTCGTGCACAAAAACTTCTCGTGCAGTTTGCCCCTAATAAGCGTCCGGCCGCACGCGCGTCGTCGCGTAAAAACCCCAGAGATATGAATCGTTCGCGAGCTTGGCCGCGTAATTAAGATGTCAGTCGCTAGCAGAGCGAGAAAAAGGGGAGACCACAGGCGAAAAGAAAGGCTCGCAACAAAAAAGAAAAAAAAATGTGAGCGAGTGAGAGCCTGCGCTAGATTACAAGTTTGCGTTTCTCCGAGCTTCGGGTCACACAGCTGCGGAACATTGTCAACTTTTCAGCGTCTATTAACTCGAAAGTAAAAAATAGCAGCCGTCTGTCCTTTTTCCACTTCATCTCTTTTTCTGTCTTTCTCCCTGGCTTCGCTTCGTTTTTATGTAAATTATAATTCTCTTCGGTCGAGTCGCTAACGGCGACAGTAAGACCAAAGCGGACAAGCAAACACACAGCCATTTCGCGCTGGCACACTCTCGCCTACCAATTAACTTGGAGGTTTTAATCCATACGCAACGAGCGTTGCGCGCAGCGATTGCCCGGCACTGTCGCTACGATGAAACGGTTTGGAAAGCTATAGCGACTCGGCGCGACCGACCAACTGGGAGTTACGTCAAGCAAAAAGCTTCAAGCTTGCTTCGCCTGCGACTATTATTTGTTAAAGGAGCAGTTAGTTCAGGCTGGTTACGTTAACTCCCTTGCGTTAGCTTTTTGTCAATCTGAATATGTATATATATCATACACAACACACTTATCATGCTATTGTGCCTCGCATCTCTGTCTGCGACAGTTAAGCAAACAATTCATATTTGTGATAAGTTCTGATATTCATTAATTTTCCAAATTAATACGTGTCCTTTGGCGATTTTTATTTCAATGCAGATTGAATTTAGTGAAATGAATCGTGACAAAACACGTTTAAAAAGTACAAAATGATCATTACTCTGGAATTTGACTTTGATGAAAATCATACACAGAGAACAATAAAATTCACGATTCAAAGAGATCGTTATGTTTTGCATACCGTAATCGTAACGTATATAATGAATATCCGAAACGTACGTAAAATCACGAATAATATAACTTTGACGTTGCAAGTGTAATAAATGCATTTTTTAATATTTAGCATCCACCTCAAGGATCTTTTGTAGAAAAATTAACAAAATATTTTTTTGATATATTTGAATGCGAAAATCATTTTATTCTTCAGTTTTGTATAATAAATTAAATACAATAGTAAATCATAGGAATCCTCGTTATTCGTTAGTCTTAATATTAGAAAATCTCGAAAAGAAAATTTGATCGGTTATTTCCCGTAAAGTACCGCGACGTCGTTTCAAGAGTCAATAACCTTTTTACAGTGCCGAAAGCTAATCTCCCTTTTAATACTTGTCGTGAAGGTAAAAAAATAGGTCCATCTCGCGCTCCTTATCTCGTGCTTTCCAAGCTCGTACCTCTTTTGTCCGGCCGGCTACTTCCTCGCCCGATCTTTTTTTTTTCTTCGCGCAAGCGGAGACGGCCGTGTCCGATCATGAATTCCACTTGAGCGCCATGAAATGAAGGTAAGAGGATAAGAACAGCTCGAGAGAAAAGGAAGGCTAGAGACGGTCATATCGATTACTAGACGAAGAACAAATTGTACAGAAGGATAGAATAGCCTTTTCGAAAATTGATGTAATCGAGGGTCGTATAACCCATACGCCCAAGTCGGCATTAGTCATTGACGTTTTTCTCTCTTTCAGTCTCCTCGCTTGCTGCACTTTCTATTGAGTAGGTGGAGAAGGAGAACAGAAAGCAAGTCACGAAAAATCTTTCTCTCTCTCTCCCCTTATTAGTTTTCTCGCTCTCGTATTTATTATCTCAAGCGCGCGACTCTGGCGTCTCTCTAATTAAAAGTCGCTTTTCATTTGCCTTTAAGCTTTACGGGAGCTGCGCTCGTAAGCTTTCGTCGGCGCCGCCGTGGCGCCCGCACTGAATGCATCTCCAACTTAAATTGATGCCTGCCAATTAAATTTTTAAAGCGCTTCGTTTACTCGGCGTCGTATTGCCTTTTGTGTTGTTTTTCCGTACTTTTATTTCTTTTCGCACAGATAAACGGATAGTTACGTTAAAAAAATTTTTTTCGCGTTTCTTGGGAAATAATTTTTCTTCCAATTCCTAAGAGTCTTTATTTATTACTTTTTTTAACTTTTAAGAAATAAAGTAACTTTATTTTAATAATAATGTTAGTGATTATATGACTCAACATTTATTCAATTGTGAAATTCTTAGCATCGTAAATTTTTATTGCTTTTTTATTTATATTTATTTTATTTATGTTTTAGTAAGTTATTGTAATTGTGCTTTCGAGGAGATTAAAATGTTTTCATAAGAAAATATCGAATAATCTTGACTTTTTATATTCATAAGTCAACTGCATTTGTGCCAATAAACTTTCCTTACGACTTTCAAAGTGCGTCAATCCAACAAAACATTTCAACTCCTGATTAGTGATATTCATAGTTTTACTTTTATAGTAACTATCATGAAAACTTGTTTTCATACTCGCGGAAATTTAGTTCAATTGAAAAAAGAATATCGAATAAGAATTCTCGAGTTGGATGTAGTTCGTATTGAATATCTAACGTTTGAACCGATTCATATCGAAATACGGTGTTTGATTGACGTTTTTATTTTTGAAACGTTTGGTTGATAAATTCAGTCCATACGCGAAGCGCGTGAAATAAGTTAGCTTGTTTTTTTTTTTAATTCTGAAAAAGTATTTTCATTGCCATTTGTTTTCTACTATGGTAGTAGAAATGCTTTCAAACAGGTCTTAGCACTGTAATTTATGAATACTCAATATTATTAATTTAATACCTTCAATTGAATAGTGTGAAAATGAATTTTATAATCTAATTATTTGGTAGTTTTGATTTTTACCATTCACGAAAATACTTAATCTGCTCACATTAATTTTGGACTATAGTACAAATAAGGAGATATAGAAAAAAACTCTACAAAATCTCGATTAATAAAAACAAGAGAACAATCAGATGGTAATGGTAATTTAGATTCACGCACAAGTGCCACAAATATAAATATAATAAGAAAAAGAATGGCGAGTAACACTAATCACGCGACGCGATTGAAGAAATTGGTCGAAAAAGGGGTGGCAGTGTTCGTGTGTCCCACGGCGGGACGCCCCTGCGTATTGACCGCGCGCGTCAAGGTACGCGATCGCACTGAGCCGGCCGTTCTACTGCCGCTGCCAGACATATAGAAAGGCCGAGCCCCATCGCGGCGCGCGCAACTCTTGCTCGCTACCCTCACTCGACGCTTTTCACCGTCTTGCTTGCTTTCCGTGCTACAGCTGCTGCTACTGCACGGCGCGTCGATTGCTCGAGCATCGTTATAACTTTTTTAATGAACGATATCTGATAGGGCTATTGCGGCTTTGCTTTCCGACAAAGCTTTAGCTTGTTCATTTTTATTTTTAAGTGGAAATTTCTGCGCTTCTTCGTCGCTGTTAAGCTTCCTTTTGTTAGTGACATATTTCTTTTATCGTCGTTCATAGTTAGAATTCAAATTTTTAATTGCTCTTATTTTTCGAGTTGATTCTAACAGCCAATTATTATGAAATTTAGAGCGTAAAAGAACGGAAGGGAGGTCAACAGAATTTATTACTCAAGTAGCGTTGCATCATTAGAGTAGTATATTGTTCATTAGAATCTAGCTAGTTTTTTTCTGAAATCGATTTACATTCAGTCGACGTCTGATATTTAAAACATAAATACTTTTGTGAAGATTTTTAAAAGACATTATATAGTTTAGCTATAAAACCGTTATCAATTAGTTTAATGCTGTAAACAGCCTCATGAACAAAATGCGCATACTATTTTTCAATCTAGCATTCATCATGGTTTATTCGCTTAATAAGAAAATGAATAGAAAGTTTTAATGTAAAGTCCAGCCTCGGCAAATATTAAATTGTATCCTCCTATTTGATCTACGTAAAGAATAATTTATTAGAAATTAATTTGTCTCTGTATACGCGCTTGTAGCAGCTTCTGGTGTATTTACCTTATCGTTCGATCAGCTGAGCCAGGTTGCTAATAGAGAAGCTTAGCTACCGCTATATGTACGTTATAATTTATGTTGCACGATACAGGAATTTCAGATAGTCGTGGTTTAGCGTCAAGATTGAACTTCCGCTGCTTTACAGTGTACCTGCGGCATTTGCTCATTCACTCCAAGCAATTCGCATTGTATTTTATGTAACTCGAGTTGCTGCGTAGTTACCGCAAGTATTTTCTTCTTTTCCAACAATTTGACGTCAGCTTGATTTGCTGGCTTACGTACTGTAAAATTCCTTGGACTTTCTGCGGGTTTAGTTTCACTTGCTGCCCGGAGCTCTTTCAAGTATTCAGAAGTTCTTTCAAAGACTTCATTGTTTGGATGTTCTACGGTTTAATCTTTTCATAGTACTTTTGTTAGATTAGTTATCATAATTTTACGCATGTGACACTGAAAAATTTTGTTAAAACACACCTATAAATTTTGCTCAAGTCAGATAGCTGACACCGGCTAGTACCAGATCCTCTATACCAGCTGCAAGTAGTACATACTATGTTTGGTCGGCCGTTTTTTTTCTTTGAAAATAAGTATCTTATGTATCTAACTTATTGTAAAAGTATCAAATTTAAATGATTTACTTTGTATTTCATTTAGGAACAATCAGAATAGAATTAATGTTAAACAATATTATTGTTATAATTATAAGTTTACCGACAGTTATCTGTCGATAACAACTCAAAATTTATAAAAATTCAAAGCACGATAAGCAAATAATAAATGTTAAGCGTAGAATTACACACGAGCATCGCACAGCTCCGCGTATCAAAATCGATATCACTCAAAAGCATAAATATTTACAGAACCTTACATGCGCTGCTATGTTATCAAGCTCTCGCGCGTTTGTATTTGTTCGGGAACGTACACTGTCACAGTCAGGTGAATAGAGCGCGCTAAAGCCTAATCGACACATACCATTTTTTATGCAATATTACCAGTTGGATCGTATTTACGCACGTACGCTAAATACCAATACTTCCTGGTGAAGCACGCGCGTATTTTATTATTTTCCTTTCGAGCTTCTATGCGATGATTTTATACTCGTGTGAATTATCACGCGCACGTGGGGGCTGTGCGTTTTCTTTCGATTTTAGAAAATTGTCCATAAATACGTCGAATTGTAGGATCCTCGCATAATTTTCAGCTTACACGTGGATTGAAATAGAATTGGTTTTTTAAGAGGAATCCATTCAATTTCTCAATTTTCATATACTAATTATATCGATCTTTTATACAGTATCATATGTTTATTTGGTTAATTCAATTAAAATAACCATTTGATTTATAATTTCAAAAAATCTTTAACATTCAACTGCAACTCAGTTTCTTTGATTCGTATATATTCTGCAGGATACTTTTTTATTACTACGATCGATTCAGTACGATTCAAAACGCGACCCTAATAAAAATTCATTATCCAAAGTTTAATACCCACATTGGTCAGACGAAAAGAAGAAGAAAGGTCTGTGCGCATCTGATTCAACGATCATCCGAGTTGTGCGCCATAAAAAAAGGAAGAAAGAAAAAAGAAAAGCCGGTGCTGCAAATAAAAAAAGAGAAGCGAGTCGGAGAGAGCGAGGGAGACGAATTGAATGCAAGCCCCCCGATAAACTGTGTGTTCAGCTACAAATGCGATTACCCCAGCGAAATATTTGATTACCGTTCGAGCGCGCTCGCTTGCGCGTACGGTGGCTGGCACTATTTAGCACCGGTGCGCGCACGTCAAATTAAAGCGGTAACGAATTGCTCGGATACACCATATCGACGTTTGATTTGCCATCTAGATCGAATTATTTTTCTCCATTTATCAAGCTCTCTCGCTGCTCGGCTCTTTTTGACAACGACAAGCTTGGCTGCGTTTGCACGTACGTACATACGTACATATGTATATGTATGTGTATGTGTACTGCTCTGGCAATATGCATGCATGCATGTTTGCGCATTGTGGCCGGCCCCCGCACAATGTCGCATTATACGCCGCACACACATTGTCTTTCTCTCCCTCCCCCCCTTCCCCTCTCTTTGTGAACACGCGTCCCAAGGGCACTAACGCGCACGCGTGCATTCCCGCACTTACCTGCATATGTCATACAAGCCAAAATACATATACATGCATACAGACGAAAGCACATGCACGTGCTGCATACCCCTTTGGCAAATAGCATTAATAGATAGAAACGGCAGGTAGAGGCTGTCACAAAACACACATATGCACACATAGGTGTATACATTGCACGAGCGCACGACACGTGTATAACTCGACACTTTCAAATGTACCTTCCTACACTGTGATGGCGCGCTCCTTCTATTTTCATCGGTGAGAACAAATCAATTCTACAGCCCGCTCGTGCCAAGCGATTTATTGGCTCCTCTCCACTTGGAGAAGAGCTACTCCTGGGTGTGCAATATCACGCGCCAAAGAAAATAAAAAATAGACACGTGCCAACACATTGATTCTCGACTCTGCGTAAATAAAATATTTATCTCGCCACCACGTCGTTTCGCGAAAAATTAACCGAAAAATTTATATATCACAACCTACACTTCAATAATAGTCCAGCCGTGCTTCCCTCTTAGACTTTATGTATAGTGCACTCGGTGAATTAATTAATTCGTCCGTCCAATTTAGCAGGTGCTCGTTTCCGCGAGAAGAGAGGGAGAGAGAGAGAGAGAGAGAGACTCATTTTACCAACGATCTGACCTTTTGTCATAGAAGCCGTCGTGGAGATGTCACGTTTAGTCTACGAGCACTTTGCGTTTTTCTATTCGCTTAACAGCTTGCGGCTTATTACATTGGAACAAAAGCAGTTTGCTTTGCTCTCCGTAGATTGGACTAGATATATTGCAATTAATTTGATTAATTGATTAAACAATCACAGACTGCTAAAAGAAATACAATAATTGTTGGTTTGGTTTGTTGTATGTTTTATTACTTCGGCAATTTATATAAAAAACAAAGCTTAGAGAGTGCTCGGTCCGGTCATAATGCTTTTTTTCTCATACATACACAATATCGCTTACTTTCTTATGCTCACAAAGGCCCCTTTGGTTGACGCTTATAACAAGTATTGATAACGCAATAAACGAGATCTAATGGAAAGCAGAATTAATTTCGTAATGAATTACAACGATGAGTAATATATACATTGTGATACATGTGAGTAGGATAAGTAATAAGTGACCTTTCGAAGAGTAACAATTGACGTTGAAGTTTTCAATAAATAAATTGTATAGGCTTAGGTGGAATAATACTTTAAAAAGAAAATAACAGTTTTAAAATTGTAAAAATCAAAATCTGTTGTCAACTTTTACGGAGATATATTTCTCGATGAATGCGGAAACCGTATTTGATCGGACATATTGCTGACTTACTATTATTGAACAAAATGCATGTAAGATTTCCCCAAGGAAGTCCCCCGCACGGAAGATAACTGTACGTTTGACCTCCTCGGCGATGTTAACACGAATTGAATTTGAAGTCGATCATCTCTGCTCAAGCATGAAATAGAAATGATAGATTTTACAAACTGCAATAATTCGGTAATGCGTGTTGATAGATAGTTATAATATCAAATTCGACAGATTTCTCTTGTTTTGTAACTCACATCCTGTCTTCCTTACTGCTCCATTTCAATATTCAAATACATTCACAACGTTTCCTTTAAAGTAGCTTAAATTGATAATACTTTTACAAACAGAATTGTAAATTGTTAGTTTTATAAATAAAATATTACTTTCTTTTAAATAATTTACGAAGCTCTACATGCGTTGTTATATTTTTTTAACATAAATCGTTTACGTTATATTATTGTTTACGTAGCCAATAATAACTAACTTAAATAAATTTTTTCGTAAGCTTAAGTAATAATGTCTTATAAATAATAAGGTACGTTGTCTTGCGATATACAAAGTGAGAACTACTTGTTGCTTTAATTTACACAAGTATGGTAAAATATTTTTTTCTGTACAAAAGTGTGTTCAGCCATCTTCGGTTCATTCATGTTGATCGATGTCCACTTGCTGCAATAAGTCTGGCTCTGAAACAGAAATAATTAAAACGTTACTACTCGGAATCTTATTTCAATTAATAATTTAATTCTTTATTTTCTCTTGTTCATTTAATCGATTAGGTATCATATGACGGCAGAGTCTCGAATTAGAAATCAATGAATTAATTAACAATTTGAAATGGAATACTACAGACCACAGAGATTAACGGGATATAAAAGCAAAACTTCATACGTGAACGTTCAAGCTTTGAAGATTTTTAAGCTAAAATATGGATACCGTTGGAGCACAAAAAAAGAGAGATGCTATATTTTTAGGTACATCAAAGTGCCAACGAAAAAGAAAAAAAAATTTAACTCGCACGAGTCACGCGAAGTTTTCCGCTATACACAATTTTTTCTGAGCGAGCTGTTTTGATTGCTTTCGATTTTGATTTTTATAGCTTCAGGCATATAGGTAAAAAAAATAATAAAAAACACATTCGTGAGCCGATCGACATGTCACAAAGTGCGAAAATCATTTCCCCGCGGCTTCGCGAGCTCGTGCAACGTGCTCGCTGTGGCGGTGGAACATTCGTAGGGGTGTCTCACCCATTTCCAATCCTTCCTTTCCGGATGCCCGCATTTTCGGCTATATTGGCTGCTCTACGAGAGTGAAAGAGAGGGAGAGAGGGGAAGCTACGCGAGCTCGTTAAAATTTTTCGCTGCATCGGCAGTTATTCGTCGGCTGCAGGGAAGCGAGCAATTATTACGCAACGAAGCCTGAAAAAATTGAAAAATCGGCACGGTCGCGTGAGGCCGCCGTTATGCGTATCGATGATTATTTTGACTGTTTCGATTTTCGTTTCGGATTTTTCCGTTACTCTCTCGTTTGCGCGTATAAACGTGTGTGTATAAAGAATGACCGGAACCGGAGCCATCAAACGTGATTTGCATAATCCAGCAGTATGCGTAAACGTCAAGCCATTGGTGCGTTGAGAGGTAAAAACAGCTTCGCAGATTGATGGAATACTCGATGACTTTGACGATAATTTAAAATCAAGAGAAGCCTCGCCCACAAGAAAAATGGATACACAGGCAAGTGTAGCGTTGGGAATCTCGGTTAAACTTGGTTAATTCAGGGACGGAGTGTTCTCGTTTATAGTCTGAGGTGGTCTGTATACATGAAAATGGATACGCGCGGCAAGCGCAGCGCAGAGTCCTCATTACTCCACTTATCTCAAGAATTGGTCACCAGTTGGGAATAGTTTGCTGGGCGCAACAACATGAATTAGATTCCGAGCTTGTTCCTCACTTGGCCCACGGCGACACGAAGCTGTGTGGCCCTCGCTCGCTAGCTGGCTGTCGAGTGTTATCACTGCAAACTTGCTACCGAAAGTTACCGGCCCAAGCATGCCGCGTCCACTCGCTGTTTCGCAACAGTTTCGCCGCGACCATCATCCCCGCCACCTCTAGTTTTCAAGTGCGTGAGCTATACGTGCAGAGAAATTAATCAAGTGCTAATCGAAATAGCGCCAACGACGACGTTGCCATGCTGCGTCAAATTTCATTTTGTATTTCATCGTTTCGAAAGCCCGCACGTTCGCGCTTGATATAAATCCAAGTTCAGGTTATTCACGATTAATGAGAGTTGTAGCGTTCAACATTATTTTTCAATACTTTAACTAACATATATTTTTTCTCTAATTGACGACGCTAACTAACTACGAACAAATATGATTAAATTTCAATGACATGCCCGTCTGTTAACAAATGGTAGGAATTTTTGATACTTGATATAAATACAAGAAAACATATTTATTCAATTACCAGTACGACGACTACTAGCAGTACTTAATCTTACAAGTTCATTTTACAATAATAATGCACGTATCACTCTCTTGGTTTTTTATGTCTATATTTCGCTGAGTTGCAATTCAGCCACTTAGCACTGATTGTATTCCACATCGTGCATCGCATCCCTATGCTTGGCACTATTTTGACATAAATTTACTTCATATTCCAATAACTTTCGTCAATTCGACAACCTTGTCAATAATGCACAAATGCAATGCTGACGAGCTGCTGAAAGCCAAACTTGAACCTGATTAAATTTTCAAACGGCGCCAAAGTAACGTTTCGCGTATAGCATTTTACTCCTTCTCCAAGTATTGTCTCACTTCGCGCTCGCGCCAGGTAAACTTTAATGGCTCTTAAATCACTATGTAGCTCGTGCACGCTCATATCCTTGTTATCGAGCCTTCTAATCTAAAATCGAACTTCATCAGGAGAATCGTCGTCGCTATTTTTCCGGATTCCGACGTAGATGTCCGGTTATTAATGTTAGTTGATTTCTCTTTACTTCTGCTTCTGATTGAGTGATATTTTCGTTTGAAGTTAGACGACGATGTTTTTATTTATTGCATTTAAAGTTTGACGTTTTAGAATAATGAGTTTGTTGGTGGAGCAGCGATGAGAGACGTGACGAGGGAGAGAGGATTTGAAGATACTAAGCTAGGACTGCGGCAGCAGACTTTTCCGACTTTTCCGAACACTCTGACAGGTGAGAACCTTTCTTTTGATTTTTTCTCACGCAATCATTTTTACTTTCTAATTAGAATTCAATTAGAATGTAATTACAGGATGTAATTACAAGAATTGATATCTTTCACTCCAAATCTATTGTGACTTTAAAATTATTGACAGTTTAATTTATACTTAAATTCAAAATAATTTGACTTATAATCGCTATGTTTTCATAAATTACTTTATTTGTTAATGTAGATATTCATTATTTAGTATTTTCACCGACCAGAATTCTATTTTTTGTCTTGCATAACGTAATTCGAAGAGAGCTTTTTTTCTAGTACCGTTACGTTGTACTATGTGTACACTGTACAAAACGATCAAGAGAATCTTTTTTATAGGCCTATAAAACACTAGTGGGTATCGGTAGTCTTGATCCATAAACATCTTTGGCTTTACGAGGCTAGTCAACGTCAACTCGTGAAATTGTTTGTATGTGATTTGTGTTGAAGTAAACATTTTTTCCATTCTCACTGTAAATCGTCTATCGTAACGATTGATGTCTGGACAAACCTTCATTAAAATGCACATATAATTTTCTTACAAGTAAACGAGATAAAAAAATGTTACTTGATTGAGAAAAGTAAAAACAATCAACACGAGAGAGTGGTAATAGAAGTAAATGAATTTGAATGTTGATGCAAGAATAAATATTATTATTAAATTTGTATACAATTAAAACTTTCAGCAAAACAGTACCACGAACCATCAGTAGCGACTGTATTTTTAGAAAGAGCGGAAATTCAAAATTGTAGTTTCACAAGACATTCTACCGTGTTATCGTGCAGTCCGCCTTTTCCAGGCACGCTCATAAACTTCAAAATTTCTGGAGAAATTTCAACATTAAAATGTTTCTTTAACGTAGTACACGTTAAAAAAAGGATATTTGCCAATCAATTTTCGGAGGAACAAGATCAAATATAAAGCTGATTAATATTATCAAGAAGACGAGGCCTGTACAAGTTTTCGAAGTAAATTTCGCTTGATAATATTTTTAATATTTGATCATAGAGGATTTCGCTTGGAACGATGCACACAAAATTGCATCTTGGTCTTGTTGCTTTTACTTCTTTGTTTGCCCCGCGGCGCGGCATGAGCGCATGCACGTAAACGCGAGCACATCGTGTTCTCGATTTCGAATAACACGCGTAAAGTAAAAATGCATAATGCATGAATATGTATGCCATACCGCAATCCTACGTCGAAATGGAAAGTCGTGATGTAAAACTTAACACGTTGTTGTCCGTACTGCATTGCCTTGATGAATTAATACCTACACGAAACGTCAATTATTGCTTGCAAAGTGTGCATCTTTTATTTTCGATATTTTAGCATTTATCTTTATATAGAACATTATAATTATAGATTAATTACGAATGTTACATACAGTATTCATTAAGGATATTAAAATTACATTGAATGAGTTAATTAAATTTCGAACTGAAATGCATTTAAAATTCTTAATACCATGTCTCTCTCTCTATGTTAATATGTGTGTGTAGGTGTGTGCGTGCGTGTATATATGCATATATACATGTACATAATTCGCTGTTCAATAATGAACATACTCTTCATGGCCTCAATTATTTTAATATATACCGACTAATGAGAATTAAAAAGGCTTTTCCAAAAAAATTATTCATTATTTGAATTTTTCCATAACTTTATTTATCTTATATTTTAAACATCAATATAGCTGATGAGTACGTATTTAATGTATTTAATGCTACTGTACTGTGTACAAAATTATTCATTTTGTTAATTATTTAGATGTGCATCGCGCATCAATCAGAAATCTGCTTAAATAATTTTAGCAAAATACTGTCCTCATTAATCACTATCTGCTTTAAATAACAGGTACTTTATGATTTGATTGGAAAATTTCCTTTTCATTTGCTCTTTATTTTTAATAAAATGTATTTACTCACCAATTCGATTATCTTCCAGATAGAGACTAGTACGCTGTGAGCGTCTTCTGTCACTGCCGCTACCGTATCTGATCCTAGGCTCAACTCTCTGAGCGGAAATGTACGTCGGCGTTGTAAAGTCATCAAGGCTTTCTTGCGCTACCGGTCTGGCTCGTCGTCGACAAATTACTACTCCTATTGCCACGCCTATTCCAACTAATATCAGCGAAACTGCAACTATATGTATAGGGAAACAATGAATTTATAGCATTATTCATTCAAAGTGTAATTTAAATTAGCAATAATTTGAGAATTGAATAAAAAATTATAAATAAACGTAAATTAAAATGTTTTTCTATAAAAAATTGACATAGAATCGTTGGCAGCTTTTTTGAATTAAAATTTCTGGAAATTATCTAGTGAAAAGCTTCTGGTCTTTTCTTAATACGGTACTTATATACTGAAATTTTTATTCCATTCATAAAAGTGCTTCCAATTTATTTTCCATATAATCCAGTCGAACAATAACAGTTTTTAGTTAATAGAAAAATTTTTGAGCTACTTTACGTTTTTAATAATACAATGATCATTCTTGCTAGTCTCATCGTAGCTTATCAATGGATGTGAAAGAAAAAGTGAAAAAATTCAACAAGTATTTTAACAATTTCATTATAAAGACACGTCATACAAGTATTCATAAATTTCGGAGAGCCGAAAATTTCAATCTGATTTATGGGCTCTAGACGAAAGATCAAACCTCTCTCTCCTAGAAAAGTTCACGAGAACGTATATAGCCATGGGTGTACGCGTGGGCGTCCGATGAAAAGCACTTTCGGTGGTGCTTTCAAAACCTCGTTCGTTCGGTCGTGGAGCATGATTTTTTTGTTCGTTCGCTCTTTCTATCTGCCCGCGAGGAGTAGTTGAAGGCAATTAATCAATTTTAACGCGCGTGAGAGAGGCTACGTCGTACACATACACACACACACACACACACATGCGCGCGCGAACAAGCCTAGAAATTTCTCCAGATTCAATAATCATCAGATGACGAATTGATATGCAGACATTCCAATTAACGCTCTACAACGGCACTCGTGCATTGTTTTCCATTTAAATGACAAATGAGATTGATCGCCAATCTCGTTTCCCAATCTCGTTAGCTCGTCCGTCGTCATGTCAGTCGCGCGTCTTGTTACCTATGTGTGCTTTCGTTCATATTTCAACTTTTTAATCTTTTTTCGCATCACCGTTGTTTTCTTTCTTTTATTCTCATTTGCCAATCGATTTTCAAGCCAAACAATTTCCTTTCTTTCGGCCATATAGCGAAGACACGAGAATCAGTGCAACGGGAGTAGAATAGTCGTGCTGTCTATTTTGTTGTTGAGTGTGTTGTCATACAGAGAGAGAGAGAGTGCAGATTAAACCGGTAACGTCATTAAAGTGCTCGACTTTTGTGCTGCGAAATAGCAAGCGAGTTGTCGTTACTGAGATAGAAAAATTGCGCAATGGCTTGGCCGATATAACGAAGCGTATTGTCAGTTTTTGCCCAGAGATACGCCATAGCAAGCGAGTGGGAGCGAAAGCGCGATATCCGTTCAGCTTTCATTTTGACGAGACGACGCGAGAAAATTGCGAGATTCCGGGAAGGAAGACGATGCCAAGGGGGTGCCGGCGACCGGGAAAGGGAGAAAAACGCGGGAAAATAGATACGGCCGTACATGCCAACAGAGCCAGAAGAAAAAGCTCGAATTCACTGTGTTATAAATGTGATCGGAAAATAGGTGGACAAAAAAATTTCCTCTCGCGGAAGTTACTCTCGAGAACGTAAATTGTAGAGCACTTGTGGCGTGACGCTTTAACTCTTTTTTTTTCTCTACTTTATCAGTATTGCGCGATTGAAATCGTTGAAAAAAAACCTCTTATAAAGAAGAAATATTCTACGCTTGGAAATAAACGTCGATTATACTTGTCGGTCTACTAATTAAAATGTTCATTTTCCGTTTTTTTTTGTCAGAAAAAGTTCAAATGAAGCAATGTTTAAAAAATAGTTTATATTCTCAAGAGAAGGTATTGCATAGAATGTAATTATATCAAAGATAAACAATCACACGAAGAAAATAACGGAAGATAAGAAATTAATCTTTAGGTATGGTCATGTTGACCAATAAAAGCTACTTGATTGAAAGAAGATCTCGTTATACGAAAATTTAGAAAATTATTTTCATTTATTCTTGTATCTGAAGTTATCATGTAATTGACGATATGTAGAAAGCAAATGGTTGCTAATTTTTGAAAATTCTGACATTTCACTACATTTTTCAAAATTCGAAATTTTTATGCTTCAAAATGATATTAGCATATTTTCAAAATCATACTTTATTTGCACATCATTTTCATTCAGATTTGTCTAGCATAATAATAATGTTTATAAAGATAATTATTCAAACTATTGTAGATTTTCATCTAATCAAAGACAATAATCGTAGAAAAACAAAAAAAAAACTAGCATAACAAAGATATGGTGAAAAAATGTAAGAAAAAGTATTAAATTTCAGTCGTTTGTACGAACATAAAACTTTTTATTTCCATAAGGTAGCAAATGTAGCTCTACAAGTCTATTCTCATACATCCTTTTCGTCTCCATTCGTTCGTTTCGTTCTCAAGCTTCTCTTCAACGAGAAGCGTCAATGCCCAGCTTCTGCCGAGTGAGAGAATGCATTTGACGCTAGTCGAGCGTTATTCAGACGACGAGATAGAATTTTGTCGAAGCGCGAATATTTGTCGAGAAGTAGAAAAAGAGGATAAGCGATGACGACGACAGTGGCGGGATTCCTTGTGCAAGATGACGCTCTGGAATATTTGACTTTCTCTAACTCGCCTTATATATCGTGCTCTCTTTCTCTTTCTGCACAGCTCGACGCTTCGTGAAAGAGCAGCAGCTCCACGATGCGACTAAATAAGATGCATTCTAGCGTACGATCCTGCCACTTGCTCTCGTCGATCTCTTCTCGCTTATCTACTCCCCCGTCCATCTCTGCCTTCCTCACTGCGATACAGCGAGAGGCAGAGTGAATTTATAATGACTGACGTTATCACGAGAGTGCAGTGGAAAAAAAGTGTAACAGGAGCAGAAGTAAAACGTCAGCGCGTAGCCTTCAATGTTTCGATATTTATGATACGCCGCGGCGAATACGTCAGTCGTTTCTTTTTCGCTTGGCTGTTTGCTTTGATAAAGAAGTAAAGTTTGACAGGACGACAGTGTTTAATCGTTGAAAAATCGATTGTCAATCGATTCATTGATTTGATAAGGACAAAGTTTTTCCGATGCTTTCGTCAGGTAAAATCTTTCGGCCTTTTCAAGCTTTTCAATGCAGTTTTTGGCCGTAGAATTTCACGAAGATAATTTTAACCATTTGAATTTATTACGTACCTCCAAACTAAGATTCTTCATTCTAATTATAAGCGAGAAAAACTAAGAATATGTATATAGTTTACGATTATGTGGAAAAGGTGAAAAATTTATTTTCATTGAAATTACCGAAAGAGAAATCAAGTTATACAGAATGCCTTGTTCAGTGAATAATTTCAATTTGTTCAAAATTTTTTCTGCTGGCAGCTGTTATATGGAAGATTCACGTGTAATTGAAGCTCGCATTGTTGGAGAAATACGTAGAAATTTAAGTTGAGTTTTTCTAACAGATCTAGAATGTTCTTTTTTAGACTAATTTTTCACAAAAGGCTAATTTTTTTTGATCTGGCGTATATTGAAGTTTCTTTGTTAAAGTTGATATTAAAATTTTATACATAGGAATGAATATTAAAATTTCTTATTAAAGTGCATTTTAGAATTTCATATTGCGAAAAATTTTAATTCTATATTTGCACAAGTAAAAGTTCTGGGTGGTGATAAGCGGTAAGTTTATGAAAAAAATTTTCTTTTTCTGAAGTACGGTACGGAAAATATAAAATTACAATGATGATTACATGTATGGACAAATGAATATAAACATATTAAATATTCTCTAATACAAGTGCTATTACATCATAATATTAATTTCATAAAATGAAAGATATTATAAAAACTTTACTGATTCCTTGAAAATGAATTTTTCATAATAACAAATACTTCTGATACTTAAAAAAAAGTCAATTCTTCTCAAAGTAAATGAATTTTTCTCGATTAAAGCATTCTAAAAAGCAATAAAAAAATTATTTGCCGGTCGTCAATACTAATGAATACAAACTAATGAATAGTATTTTCAAATTTACGACAAAAATTTATTGACCATTAAAATTACAGTCGTAACCCTTTTAAAAAGAATTCAAAGGACCATTAAGACTTACAAGGAAAAAGTTTTCACTTCAAGTACATGTGCGCGCGCAAAAGAATCCCCTTTTATCGTGAATAGGAAAAACCAAACGCTTGACGATCAAGATCAAGAAGAAAAAAACGAACTTCCTAAGCTTTACAATTTCTAGTTCATCGCGCGTCTCCAAACTTTTCTCTCTTCTTCTTTACAGCTTTCAATGTATACGATGGCATCGCATCTTTCTTGAGCGGATTTGATCTATCAAAGTAGAATCAAGGACAATCGCATTGCTGCGCTAGTAGTAAATTCAACTCACTTATCAATGTGATAACAATGAAGACATTCTTAAGGCTGCTGACGTCGGATATGACATTGGGTAGAGCGCCAAGAAAACGGCTTCGTTGCACACTCTCAGATACCCGAATATTTTCGATGAGTACTGGTTGACTACGTCCACGACTATTCTCGGCGTAGACGACAATTGTGTAATCGTATCCTGGCTGGAGGCCGTAAACCTGAAAACTTGGCTCCTCATTGCGATCCGAGTAGACGGGCAGTGCTGCCGGGGACGAGATGTCGCTGCTACTGCTGTCAGTAGAAACGCCCTGATCATTTTGAGGTATCTGCTGCAAGAGCTTCGAATTTTCCAGGCTACCGTGCACCTCCAACACGAAGTGCTGCGGCAGACCGCCGCTTGCTCCCGGGATACAGTTCACCTCCATCGCGCTGCTCTCGTTGCGAATGCTGCAATCTATTGGCTTCTGCGGTGGTTCTGCGAACAATTTTATGAGATTTCCAACTGAATTCTTGTGGAAATAAAAAATATATAGTAACGCGAAGCAAAGGCAATGTAGAGCAACAAGTTTTTACAACTTTTGCACCCCTTAAAACATCGATAGACGTTAGATTGGGTCAAAGAACATTTTATTATTTAAGAATATTCGTTTCGAAGTGACATAAATTCGAAGAACAGGAAAAATTGTTCATTAATTGTTAAAGGTGGCAAACAATTACCAAGCTGACAATTTTCATACTCCATTAAGAAATATAAGGAATGGGAATAGCGGAAGAGATCTGTGAAGAGTGCAATTTTTAACTCGTTAATTCAGATTAAAATCGCTTCCTTTCATTTAAATCACGATTCAGCGCGAAAATTTCGCTATTGTCACTTTCCCAACGATTTTCTCTCATTTGCCGTAATGCTAATTCTACTCGCCACGGCTAGCCCGGAGAGAAAGAGAGGTAGAGGGGGAGAGGGAGAGGGGGGGGGAGGGGTAGAAAGAAAGAGAGGTAGAGAGAGAAAGAAAAAGATAAAGAGATGTTACATTCTCTCTATCTCTCTCTTTTCTCCTTTTTCTTCTCTTTTTCAGTCGATTCTTCATTGTTACTTAATCACCATTATTTCGCGACGTTTTACCATTTCAAAGGCTTGCATAACATATTACCTCATTACCCTGGAAACCCTACGTTTTTGGTTTTTAGATAATGGAGATCTAGTAAAGTTTGAAAACATTTTCTATCTTCAGGAAAGGTATTCTTTTAGTTTTGCTTATTACTAAACAACATTTAACAATATTTTTTCTTATAATCTTTAGAGTCAACTATATCATAAATAATTAACAAATCCACTGAGAAACTTTTAGCAGCGTCAAAGTTAGGGAAATATTTTTTTATTGTAATTACAATAATATATATTATTTCTTTATACAGCTCAACTTTCAACATCTTGCAAGTGCACCGTGATAATATTGAGATGCAAAAATATGTATAATGACATTTTCCAGTTACTTACGCTTAATAATGTGTAACTCTTTCAACTGGAATTTCAATTGTTAGGATGACAATCACTTCTAAGATCTTTGAATTCTATGACACTAAATGTGTTTGTTACATTTGAATGATATCGCAATAAAGACGCACTGACTTCTATAGTTAGGTATTTTATTCAATAGAAAATACAGAGAATATCATCTTATTCATCCATAATATAATAACCACGAATTCAATTGCTTGTTATACAATTTTGCTGGAAAAAATTTACATATATTTTAGTTCCAGATTGTATTATTCTAAAAAATGTTAACCACCAAAAATAAGGCCCATAACTAGGCATGCTTGTAATAATCTTTTATTTTGTTCAGAGCAGTGCCAACTTAAATAAAAAACAAAAATGTCTTTATGTACAGTTCTTGATGGTTTTAATATAATTTGATGGAACACAAAAAAAGATAATATCAATCTAAGCTCAAAATCAAAGTCGACGGGAATACATTGAAATTCGAGAATTGCAAAGCTTTGAAAACACAAAAATTTTCTTCAACTTTTCAGTCTCACTAAATATGAGATTTTCTGGCACGGTTACAGTTTTGAATGTTTTACTAGGGTTGAAATTTCAAGCAGAAACTTAGGTTGAAAATAGCCTAAAATGTGGTTACAAAAATATTTTAACTCGCAAAATTTATAGAATTAAAAAAAAAAAATAAAAAAGAATATTCTCTTTTTCGATTGATTTTAGCAATGCTACGAGTATGATAGAAAGGGTGTCATAGTTATACTACATGATTGGTCCAAGTATTTTTACTTATTTATTTCTAGTGTCCCAACCAAATGATGGATACAAAAATCAAGATCATGGAAGGACGAAATATGATAACTCAACGAAATAGTACTAAATCCCATGGAATTTATTATGTTACATACACCACAAAATAAAAGACAAGAAAAATTGTTGAAGGTTTCAACCACATATCGCTTGATATTAACGTTTGAGCCAGCACATAAAAATAGTCGATGTATAAAAGATGTAAAAAAGTCAGATGTAAAATGCAAAATTTTAGATTAGCTTAAGTCAGCTATCATATACGCATTTTAAAACATAAACTTGCATGTGACATATAATTACCGGAAGAGATAGGACAGAAGCCAATATTAACACAAGAATTTTCATCGCATTATCGTTCGGTTGTGGAGAGCGCGCGTGTGAGTGCAAATGCATACATCGTTGGAGAGAGCAACGTTGAGAGAGGAAAGAGAGAGAGAGAGGAAGCGGAGATAAGCCCTGGCAAGCTTGGCACGTTCGACCACCTCGCAACTAACGTTGGCAAGCCGAATCTGTATAAAGCAGCGATGAAACAGTCGCATTACATAACTAGGGAGAGACAGAGTAGAGATGAAAGCTCGATCGTTGCTTTACTAAGGTAGCTGTTACTTGTTCTGCCTCGGCTGAAATCCCTCTCTCTCTCTCTCTCTCTCTCTGTACGTATATACATTGTTGCCCGTGCGCGCATTGCGAGAGAAGCCATTATGCTGTGCGAGAGAGGATTAGATGCACCCTATGATATAGCATCCGCACGTGTGCGTCGTCTTCATACCCATGACAAGCGTAAACTCCTCTCGTGACAAGTTTCACGATCAGTAAACTCGATGCTTGCATGATTTTCGTTTTGTCCTCATTTTAGTACCTGCCTGCTGCTTGGAAATTACATTGTACAAATGGCACAGATGACCATGTTTCGGTAATCATAGTTTATTGTAAGTTTAATTAATGGATTCTAGTGTTGAGGATTTGGGATCTCGATCCGTGTAAATCCGATCACACAGTTGCTGATGGAAGGATTGTATTATTTTAACAGTAAAGCATAATGGATTATATTGGTTATTTTTGTTTGGATGGGAAGTCTAATCCGGTTTTGATTCACTCTCCGCCGTACACTATATATAATATTTGTATTGATTTGTAAATGGAGGAAATGTAGGTAGCTGATATTAAAGTAATTGGCAATCCTGTTGAAATTTCAAGTCGTTCACACAGTCGTTGAAATGATATTTTTATTTAAAAATAATGGTCAACTTGTCAGCAGACTAAAAGAAGCAAATTAAAACTTACTCGCAGGAATGAGATCGAATCGGCATGGATGTTTTTGCTGTCCAATGCTGTTGATAGCCCAGCACGCAACGGTGCCGAAGTCATCGTCACTTCTTGGTACATATTCGAGAGTGTGGCTGAGCGGTCGTGGATTCGGCACTGCGGACACGTCGCCAAGACTGCTATTACGCGTCCACGAGAAGCGTACGTTGTCCCGCGGGTCTGCTTCGATTTCACAGCGTAGCCTCAGCGTGTCGCCGGGCACTGCCACTAGATCTTGTCTCTCGTGTCCTGACTTGCACCTGGGAACGTCTACGAAAACATACTACGTGAGTTTGTTGCCCTCATGACAGCACGCTCAAAGTTCAGCTATGCATTTGCAGTTGGGATTCGTACGGAGAGATCGACAGTAGCTACTATCGACAATTCTTATTACACTTCGTATATGTCGATGCGCGATCGCAATTGAATTGGAATTTTTGCGAAAATCGATCGTCTGGAAGGTGAATAAAAATGAAGAGCGATGACATTTTTCACCGATAAGGCAGACGTTAAAAATATCTTTGAAACAAGGAAAGATAGGTTTCCTGAAATTAAGAAATTTTAACAAGATTATCTCAAATTAAAATACAATATTTGACAAAACTATGCAAATGCTCTTTGGAAATTACTTAACATGAGTATTTAAAGTCGCATAAACGTCTAAAATTAAGATCCGAACGATTTTCCGTCAGAATAGTGTCCTCGAGAGAAGCCGATGGAGCATTGAAGGATACAAGATTGAAACTCGAATGTTAATTGTGACACAGAGGTCGGGAGGTACAGAGGGATGCCGTAATAGCGACGCGAAAACTTACATTTCATGTGAATGGGAAGCGACGGACTACGAACTTCGCCAACAGTGTTCCTGACCAAACACGAGTAAGCTCCGTTGTGAGCGAGCGTCAGTACTCGAAGCGTCAGACTGCTGGAAGCCAAGAGAACTCCAGCTTCGACGTTGTGCTCTAGTCGCTTGTTCTGCAAGAAGAATTAATACGTTATTAAGGAAAATTAGACAAACATTTCAAAGGATTTAATAATATGGCAGAAGTTTCCGTATGCCTAAGATTTAGTTTCTTCAAGTAAGAAAGAGAGAGAGAGAGAGAGACAGAGAAATGAAGAAAGAGAAAGAGAGGCAGAGAGAGAAGATGAGACAAATAGATAGATAGACAGAGAGAATTCGTAAAATGTACATTATACTAATAACTGAATAATACGTATAGTTTATTTCGTTCAATTTAATGTACTCTTATATTTAGTTACAAACGACTCGTGAGTGACTAACCGAGTTTTTTAATTATCATAGCTATATTTTACAATATTGCCACGAAATATTGTTTGAATGAGTTTTTTATTACGCTGTCTTTTTTTTTTATATTGATATTTTGCGGTTCATCAAGAAACTTTTTAATGGTAACGCAAAGTCTCTTAAATTAAAATTCCGAACAGCTGTTGCATGACAAATTCAATTTCGATCGCGAACAGTAGGGTACAACTATACGTCGCAAAAAAAGAAGATGAGAAAAAAAGAAAGCCAAAGGCAAAGAGCTTACTGTCGACCCATTTATTCATTATTTGTTCCAAGCTCCTCAATTTCCGTGCTCAGCAAGAAAAGTTATGCACACAATGAAAGCTCGCGCAAGAATTAAACGATTTTATTTCTTGTCACTGTATTGTAATTCATCACTGTATTGTATTTCAATTCATTAGTGATTTTTTGCATATTAGGTCGCATGTATATAATGTGACCTTAGTATTTCCAACATAATTGAAAATGTGAATATGACGATTGGGTATTATTCTTCATGAATTTTTAATAAAAATATTACCTCGTAGCTGAGCATCAATCACGATCAAATGAGCTATCAATCTTTTTGTCAAGAATCAATGTCTAAATGAACAAGCTCACTTTTAAAGGGTCAATCATTCTCAACAAGTTGATGGATGAAAATCTCCAAAGATTCTCATTAAGATTTGAACACTATAGTTTCTGCGATCCTCCGTCAACCAATTTTTTCACAATAATTTTCATCTCTTTCTTGTGAAAAATAAGTTAGCAACGAGAAAAAAAGTAAAAAGTTAGAAGAGATGACGAGGAAAAAGTAGTATGAAAGAATCGATAAACCGGATCAGGTTGCCCATTAGCGCAAGTACGCGGCGCAAGTTTTCTCTTTCACTCACTAATGAAGGAAACGAATTTTCGAGCGGGAAAAGGAAATGGAAAAAGAATCGAGATATTTCCGTGTTAAAATTTGTATATAAATATAAATATAGCGTTGCTAAGATCGAATTCGAAATATCGCACAGTGTGTCCAAGTCCGTAGAAAAGGATAAAAAATTGTCCTTCCTCTTAAATATACACCAATTCAATCGCCTCTCAGACATAACCATACTTCATGTAATCTAGTTTCCGAAATACTTTTCGTCAGCGTGACTACCATATACACTGCCCGTCAATCACTTTTGCCATGCTTACCTCAAAATTAGGCAAACTTGAAAGTTTTGTATCTCGGTCGGAAATCATCGTATCACAAAAAACCGCAGGGCATTTTAAAGGTAATTGCAAAAGCTTCCATTTAAGACGTGCAGAGACTTAAACATGAAAATATGTGTTTTTTACAGTAAAAAAACTGATTAAAAAAATTTCAATTTTTTTAACCTCGACTTAAATCAATACCAATTTAGAACCAGGCGGTGGAGGGCAAATCGACCGGAGGGGTTCGGAGGGTAATGTCTTTCCCTTTAAAATTAGCCCCCGCGGGGTTCTATCCGATATTTTTTAACCGAGTTACGGCGTTTTTTGTAAAAAAATAATCTTTTTTTTCAATCCTCAATAACTTCGACTTGCGTACGTTTTGGAAAAAAATGCCAAGGAGAAAAAAGTTTCATTTTGTGCCCAAGAATATGAAAATAAAGTCAAAATAAAGAAATAGAGAAAAAATTTTTTTTCGGTTTTTTAGCGCATTAAAAAATAAAGGAATTTAACTTTTTTTTACGCTTCGTTTTAAAATGTCTAGGGACGTAGTAAATCACAAAAAACTAAAACTAAGCGTAAAAAAAAGTTAAATTCCTTTATTTTTTTAATGCGCTAAAAAACCGAAAAAAAATTTTTTCTCTATTTCTTTATTTTGACTTTATTTTCGTATTCTTGGGCACAAAATGAAACTTTTTTCTCCTTGGCATTTTTTTCCAAAACGTACGCAAGTCGAAGTTATTGAGGATTGAAAAAAAAGATTATTTTTTTACAAAAAACGCCGTAACTCGGTTAAAAAATATCGGATAGAACCCCGCGGGGGCTAATTTTAAAGGGAAAGACATTACCCTCCGAATCCCTCCGGTCGATTTGCCCTCCACCGCCTGGTTCTAAAGTGGTATTGATTTAAGTCGAGGTTAAAAAAATTGAAATTTTTTTAATCAGTTTTTTTACTGTAAAAAACACATATTTTCATTTTTAAGTCTCTGCACGTCTTAAATGGAAGCTTTTGCAATTACCTTTAAAATGCCCTGCGGTTTTTTGTGATACGATGATTTCCGACCGAGATACAAAACTTTCAAGTTTGCCTAATTTTGAGGTAAGCATGGCAAAAGTGTTTGACGGGCAGTGTATGTACATATTTAGATGTGAGTGTAAAGAAGCATTTTTCCTGATTAACAAAATAAATTGATGATTTCTCAATAATTTGTTTTTTTATCGTTCCACTATACTAAGCCCGCTAATAGAAAGTTTAATAATTTGATTGAAAATTTGTAACCAGGGCTCCATCAAACTCTACGTATTTGCTTTTTGTAGACAAATTAAATATTTTTTTCAATCCACTATTCGGATTCGGACTAAATTGATAGAAAATGTAAAAATATTTTTTCATGCTAACTTATCTATGTAGACGTACTTCAAAGGAAACTGTTTCTGAAACTAAATAACATGAGAAATAATTAACTGGATCAGCCGATTTGTTTTTAGCATTTTGCGAAGAAAGCGCGAATTTCGAACCACTTTAAAGAGTCGGGACACACTGTACAGCGTGTAGTAGCTCTTAAAAAGGGCTCCTTACACTCACACTAACCTCGTAAAATAATCGTTTTATCTCTTGGATTTCGGAAATATATCCCTGCACCTTTACGTTTAATGGAAAAAACAACAAATATTTGTTTATTGATCGTTGCTTGGGTTTTATTGCATCTTCGAAATAAATAAATAACAGAAACCAACGACCGCAGGAATTGAAAGACGACGCGCGTCGAGAGTACGGAAAGAATCGCATTGATGAGTTGTAAATCTGTATTGGTATTTGATTTTTGTTGAGAAATACTAACAGAAGGAAAGCTACGCGCAATTACGTTAGCTGGGCAGCTTCGAATACGCCTCTCTTAAAATATTCGCCCGTAGAGAGCCATTCCATCTTGTACTTTTCTCTTCTTCCTTTCTCTCTCGCGCGCGCCGTAGCACAGCAGACATCCCAGAAACGATGAGTCTTTCTCCATGTCCTCGTTTTTCGCTCTGCACTTCCACTCTTGTTCCGTTCTACGCTCATTCTTTCTTCATCGTTTTTTGACCTGCTTTTCTGTTCTTTTTTCTTTGTGTTTGCGCGCAAAAGACCTATAGACTCGCATTCCAACATCACCCACTTCACCATGCATATTTGCCTAAGTACGCTTTTCTTTTCTTCCTCACGTAACCGCGCGTGAGCTTCGGGGTTTTGTTTTTCTTGCTCTTTTTTCATCGTTTCGTGCTGATGCATATCAATGTCTTCTCTCTCTCTCTCTTTCTCTCTCACTCCCCATCTCTTTATGTACCTTTTTCCTGAGCTCATCATATGCTCCCCTGTTTTTTCTCAACTTTTTTCTTCTCTCTCTCTCTCTCTCTCTCTCTATACTGTTGTTTACTATTTTAAGCAGGCGCGTTCGCGCTGTATACTGCAACAGCTTTTTATTCCTCCTCGAAATTACCTTCATACTGATTACGTCTGTACACTAGCAGCTCGTTTCGCGTTCATGTTAGGACCTCCAGTGTATAAACATAGTCCTTCATTATGTGTAAAAAAGGAAATTTGCAAATTTTTTTTTTCTAAACTGCGGTTTATATTTCGTTCAGTGCGAATGAAGTTTTTAAAAGTAAATATGTAGTTGTTTCTTTATAATATTGAAATTCAAGCAGACACGTATGCGAAGTTCATGAAATGAAAATGTTGAATCATATTTTCTCTCCTAGCTTTGAGTTGTAAATATCAAAGGCTTCAGCTTGCCGATGGAAATGCAAACTTTCTTATATTTTTTATAATTTTTTTTCAAAGCACGCTAAAAATAATTATTATCAAATGCACCCACTACATATATCCGCATAGGAAGTTTACAATTTATAAATCGAATACTATTAATTTATAATATTATTATAATTATTAATTATAATAATATTATTATTAATTTATATATTAATGGTATCCATTTTCAAATGAAACAGAGCTTCGTATTGCACAAATAAGTGTAGGGTACGTATTTCATAATAATTGTGACAGCTAATTTTAAAAAATGAAAAACACGTGTTACGAATATTTCATAGTTAAAAGAATTTTCTTACGGTATTCCATATAAATCATTCTATCAATGTTTTGTCTTTTGTAATACACGATATTTTGCAGAAGAAAATATGAAATCGGCTTGCTTTTTAAAGCTTGTGATCGTTTCATTTGATTTTCATCCTGTACATTATGAATACAATAATATTTATATTTAGTATTCAGATAATTACCGACTTTTCAGTATTTCATAATCAAAATATTCGAGATTATATTAATAAGTCTTACTGGTATCGAGAAGAATTTTCATTCTTATTTCTCATCATTTTTTAACTAAACATTATGTCAACCAATCATTCATATTCAGAATAAAATATGTAGCTTTTTTGATGATATTTTCAACATGAACATCTAACATATTAAAATCTTCCTTCAAAACAGTAGAAAAATATGCTAAAATCCACTCACATTATGCATCCACTCAATACTAGTTGGTCGGGGATTGCTCTTATAGTGACAAACAAATGTGACATCGTCTCCTTCCCGTAAAGTATCAATGTCGAATCCGCTTGCCAACGATACGGTTGCAGTGGGTGGATCTGAGGGCCAAAAAAACATTCTGTTATTATAAATAACGAAAACTCTCTTGTCGACGATTCACGGAATACAAGTTCCAATCCCCTTTACGTTGACGGTATTTACAATCGCGCTAGAAAACTTTTTATTTATCTGTATATTCGTGAGAGTTGGGGGAGAGTTTTCGCACAGATCGAGTGAGGCGATCGCTTTGCATGAGCTGACATCCGGTAAACAGCGCGGTGCATGTTTTTGGTGCGGATTTAGGCCGGAAGTCGAGGTCACCTATATACTTTGCCAAGACAGTTTGCTCGAAAGACAAGAAGAAGAAGAAGCGAAAAAAAATGAAGAGCAAGCATGTTGACTGTTCGGTAGGATACGAAGGCAATGAGAAGAAGCTCAGGGAGTTTCGGGATAATCGAGAGCTCCAAGGAAGGAAGGAAGTGGCCAGCTATCGGAATGCAAACAGCAAAGCCTTACTCTCTCTTCGCCCGCAAGTTCGATCAGTTTGGAATCTTTGGAAAGATTCGCCTTCTATTCCTCCCTTCCCCCTCCCCCCATCTCTCTGTCTCTCTCTCTCTCTCTCTCTCTCTCTCTCTTTTTCGCTTGTATCCACTCTCGAGTGTCTCCATCGCATTTCTGAGCGACGGAAGTTTCGCCTGCAAGTTTCGATGGCTTTGTATATACATCAACTTTCCTCGCTACCTTCGCCTCTCCTTAGAACTGATCATCGTCGCGATGCCGACTCTACAACTATTCCGCCTCACGACTTTTCGAGGACTTGAGTTATTCCTAATTACTCGAGTGGCCTCCCCGGCTGCGCGCGCGCCTCTTCGCTTAATTGCCGATACTCCAGATAGGAACGATTGCCGGAACTGCGCTTTTTTTTTATCGCGACCTACATACAGGTTCGATCTTTCTTTTTTTATTCTTTCTTTTATCAACGTTCTCGCGGAAACTCCGATATTCCGGCATTATGATTCCAATTGAGGTTTTTAAAAGTTTCCATTGTTTGATTATAATCGATATTTCCGTAAGAGAGTAAACGAATTATTTGCGTATTTAAATTTTGTACTCTTTGCAAGTTGTAAAATTTAAATGCAAATGTGTAATATTTTGCCGACCCTCGCTCTTTGTTGAAATTATTATATTATATGCATGAATTGGTATATAATAACAAAGAATAACAATCTACATCATTCGAGTACTATTCATAGTAGAATTACTAAAATTTTAACTTTGGTTTCGCAATGCAAATCAATGTAACAATGAATTTGGCGTCTGATATCGAGTCACTAAAGTTTAATAATCCAATGATTGGATGCACACTGGACAGACTTGTAAAAGAATAAAAAAATTTGATACTTGAACTTAAAAATAAAATACGATCATCAAAGAATTCGAGCGGAAGAAGAAGAAGAAAGTAAAAAAGTAACTCACAAAGGACGTTGAGGACTTTGGTAGTCTCAAGGACTCCTCCGGGAAAGCGTGGATTTTCCGCGCGACAGGTCAGCTCCTTAGCGTCGTCATCCTTGTCGAGCACAAGAGCGAGCTTACTGATGGTCAAGTTGGCTTTTTGACTGGGTAGCGGTGGTTGGGTGGGCGTTTGCAGGCTGGAATCTCGCATAACGAGGCCAGCGAGACGCCAGACAAGCCGTGCCCCCGGCCAACTTCCCCAAGTCTCACAGCGTACGTTCATCGGGCGACCAGCGTAAATCTCATCTTCCTCCAGAACTATACTCACCAAGGCTGGTTTTACTGTAAAAACCCGCCAAAACAACAGATGATCGAAACTTGCTACGTTCACTCAGCCTAATGGCCTTTACGATCTACCCTCAACTCATGCTTCTCTCAACTTTTTACTCTTTCTGTCTCTAGGCTACACAGAAACTTGTATTAATATTTTAGTTTTATACAAAATAACTTCATTTTGCTTTCATTTTTTCAAACAAAAAGAACAGACACATATAGCGTGCTTCAACGTAGTAATATTCAACAAAGTTTTCATTATTTTATAGTTTGTTATGTTATTATATATTTGTACATAGAATTTCCTTGCATACGTGAATGAAATTTTGACGAAATTTGCAAATAAACTCGCTTGTTATTCAAACGCAAAAAACATTAACTTTCACCTTACTTTTATTCTTTAGCTAATATATAAAAGTAGTAAATTTAATTTTCTAGTATCCTTCAAAAGAAAAGGACAAATAACGTGTGGTACAGAGAGACTACTAAAAATAAGTTTGACTGTGTGGTAAAGCCCGAGAAATTCCATTGTAGCGAATGAAAAGAATGGCGAAGCCAGTTAAAATTCAATTTTCAGGAGAGACAGTCAGTCCGCGCGCCTACTTAGGTGCTGTTGCTGCGAAAGTACAGAATTGCAGCGTAAATCATTATCAAGTTCGTCCGTCAGGGCGAAAATAACGGCCTCGTCACGTGCCCACCATGCGCGCACGTATTTTTACGTTTGAAAGTCTCTCTCTCTCACTCTCTCGCTCTCTCTTGCTCTCTCGTTTCTTGGAACATAGTGCACGCAAAGAGTCAAAGGGGGATGTCGAGAGCAGAGCATTTTTAAAAGAAGTCCGCTCTACCACGAGAATTCGGCGCGTTTCCGTTCGCGTACCAAGTCGCCATCGCTCGCAGGCAGCAGCATCTCATCTATATTTAGATTCTTTCTCTCGTTCTTTCTTCCGCGTCATCGAGAAGAGCAATAGGAGATTTACATGCGCTTTTACACTTTCTGCTCTCCGGACTCCATGCTGTATGTGTGTGAACTGAGATTGAAGATCTTTTCTCCCCGCTGCTGATTCTTTTTCATAGAAGTCCATTGTCACTCTTTCTTACACCTTTTGATTTACATTTTGAATTGTTGTCCGGAATTTTTACGAAATATATTTTACTTCTTTTCAGTATACGTATGAGTACGTAAGGATATGCATCTCAATAGATTTATCTCTATTTTTCTCGAAAAATGAACGCCTTTTGACATTTTATTATTCCTCCTCTTTCTCTTTCTCTCCCTCTCTCTCTCTCTCTCGCTCTCTCTCTTTCTCTCTCCCCTTCGAACGAACGAGCGAACAAATGTTCGAATCATTACGTATCATAAAGCTTTGTGTAAGTAATATTTTTAAAAGCTCACTAATGTACCTCGCGAAACATCGAAATATGTGTTGTTCTCGATATTTTTATATGAAAATATACTAATTTTAAATATAAAAATAAAAGAGTCCAATGCAGCTGAATATTTCTTATACAAATTTATAATCCAGAAAATAATAAATCTTCAATACTTACGCAAAATTTCGAGTGAAACTTTCTTCGACGTAACCCTGGATTTGATGGCAATTTTGGATTCAGCTCTACACTCGAGTTTTGTGCCCCATAATTCTCTGGTCACCTTGCCAATTTTAAGAGTATTTACAACAAATCTCTCCGTTGAGTCCATTGTGCCATCAATCATCTCATCATCTTTCCACCATGTCACCGTGGGCTTTGGTTTACCTATATAGTAGGTAAAGCACAGAACGCGTCGGTTAAGATAAAGAAAATAACGCTAGAAAACCAAAAAGTAGTAGGGAATGTCTGGAAAATAAAGATTATATTCGCGGCTCATTTACATTAACGTTTATCTTGAACGTCCGTGCTCTCTTTTTTACACTACCCGTAGCGATGCCGGGGATGGGTAGAAACTGCATTCGCGATAAAACGTACATATACGTATATACTACTAACACGAAGAGACTTTGAAGACCGCTCAAGTAATTCCTATGCTAATCCGTCTTTGTGAACCGCATGGAATTTACTCGGCGCGGCCAGCGGTAGGAGCAAGTATAGAGCTATGTAGTTGGCTGCCTGCACTTTTTTTCTCGCTCGTACGACACATACCGCATGTCTCGTGGTTTGTTCGACCGCACAAAACATACGGTCGCCGGGCACTGTTGCACGCGCTTATGCTAAGTCGGTTGACTGGATAAGTGATACAGAAAGAGGGAGGAAGAGAGAAATCTAGCTGCGTACATTGTGTCCTGCATTTGTTTTGCCGACGACAGCGACCTGTAGGTTGCTCTACATTTCAATTTCACTTTTCATTGCCAATTCGCTGGATTCTCTCAAGTGAATTTTTACTTTTCACAATTTTCAATTAGCAAATTCAAGATGCTAAGAAATGTATACAAGATAAAGTGTCAGTGCAACTGTGTTTGTTAAGAATGTAACCAATCAATGTTTGTCCGAAAATATCATGTGAATTTCGTTTCTTCTCACGTTGGTTACGACTGGACAAGGTCGAGAGAATTCCCAGGTAGTCCTCATTATTTGTATTCGAGCAACTCGGCTATTGCCGCTGGTGCTGCTGTGTAGAGAGAGAGAGAGAGAGAGAGAGAGAGAGAGAGAGAGCACGCTTTGTTCTACTACAGTAAGCGAATAAGTGAAATTAAAGGGCCAGCCAACACAGCCAGCCAATTTACATTGACAAGAGTCGTTTTTCTAGACCACAGAAAGACTGCCATGGCATTGAAGTTTTCCGACTGTCCCTTGATGATACCCCTTGTGAGCTTGCAAGTTAGCTGATTGGGTATCATTTGTCGCGTCCTACAAAAGATACTTCTCTCTCTCTCTCTTTCCTTTAGCACGAACACGCGTTTTCTTTCATTTGCCATTTGCCGAGTTACCGTTCATTTTGCAAATTGAAGGCGTACACGCTTCGTTAACGACAAAGTCTTTCACAGTATCTTAATGCAACGGATGTCACTATAAAGGAAGTTTTGTTTTATTGTCGTGTGACAAAAATAAAATTTGCGCTTTTAATTCAGATAGATGTAAGCACGGTATTAAAGCTGTTTTTTTTCGCCGTGCAAGCAGAAGGACAAAAATTATACATACGAAGAGCGCACTTACCACCAGCAACCTGACAATGCAATACAAGCTCGTAACCTTCGAGAAAGGGTCCAGCTACACTCTTCACATCCTTGCCTTGGGCGTCGTAAATAACGGGCTTCCTTGGCGGTTCTGCAAAAGAAAATTATACAGACGCTCTCTTAGTTTATGCAACACTCAGTAAGTACGCTAAAGCACAAAAGATTCGAGCCGCACCTGTCGCTGTGAAATGTTTTTCCGCGTTACAAACTCAACGTTCGACTAAAAACACACTTACGGATATAGCTCTCAGTATTCTCTATTTATCTCGTAAATTATCTCTGGTATAAATTTTAATTTTTACCAAATGCAATGCATTCCTCTAATACTCCCTTTTTCATCCCTCGGAGCAATGTCGTCGTCGGGCGGCCGTGTCCCGGTTGACATACGCGCGAGTGGCGCGAGTTTAATGTAGAACGCTCGCGTCGTCGTAAATTTGAAAATTTTCTTTTACGCGTAAGACCGGTCGTTAAAAGTCGACCAGAAAGAAGCGCCGCGGGTCATTACAGGCATAAAGCGGAGATATAGTTGAAGCGCGCGCGAGCGAACGCTCCGAGTTACGACGACCATTCCGCGGTGCGGGGGAAAACTGTAAATGTCGACGCGTTTCGCCACCGCTGCGAAATTGTGGCCTTCTTGTATATACGCTGTGAGCATTATGTTTTTTTTTCCAAAAGTCTTTCTTCGGATAAAAAGAAAAGATCAATGGAATATCACTCGTGCGGCATTTTTATGAGAATTTTAGTCGATGACCTACGCGGTAGTCGTGAGATATACGATGGCTTAGGTGGTAAGTCAATTTAACTGTATAGATGGCCTAGAAATTTTAGTACGTGGTAGTACGCGTACGGTTTACGTAAACATTGAAATTTTCCGGGAGTTCTTGAAATCTTGATGAGAGCGGAAAATTGAATTTCTGAATCGAAAACTTTGCCGCTGAAATTTCGATGGATTAAAATTTCATTTCAGTGGTATTCCCTCGGGGGATATTCGGGGTTTCCCTATTTGGCCACCAGAAGTTCGCAGTTTCGAAAGATTTTGAAAAGTTTCCTTGGAACATTTTTCTCGCAGCGTTATCGGTTCGACCATGTTTGCTCGCGGTCAATTAATTACACGCTATTTCCCCCCAGTTCATACGCTGCAACAGCTTTTAATGATTACAAATAGCCTGCAGTAAATGTTTCCTGAATATAAACTTCTACTAATAGATCACTTGAATGTGAGTGTGCAAAGTTGATCCATCACTTAATCTGTACAAAAAGTAAATACTTCGTCGAATGTAAAAGTAGATAGACATTTTATTCTGGAATAGGACTTGAGATGGTCACAGAAATTAGCGAAGCAAATATTTACCTATGAAAGTGAGGTTGACACGAAAGTTATTTGTTGGCGAGTTGACGAAGTCGACGCGACACCGAAATACCCCCTGGTCTTCGTAGGCGACCCCTTTGACTTTCAGCCGAGCGAGGCCAGCCTCGCTGTCCACCTGGAAATACGTTCGATTTCCGAGGTTTCCACTCATGGTCCAGTGCACGGCTTTGAACAGATCGCCCCCGGTGTTCCTTGCGTCCAGCCTGAAAGAAAACCGAGCAGATGAGATTTTAATTAAAGTTTCGAAAAACGAATGGTTTGTTATTAAACTACATATTTTTCTATTCTTATTTAATTATTTTTTAATGAGATTTCCGAGCATTTAATTCTGATTGGCTGCTGAGAAGTGTTTAGTACACGAAATAAAAAAATTGTTCATATTTGCCGTTTAAAAATGAATTTATTAAGATTGTGGCAGTAGTGAATTTCAGAAATTTAAAAAATTAGCATTTTCATTTTTGTTACGATTCTCTTCTGTTGCACGGAATTAATTTACTAAATACTTCGTAAAACACGAAGCTTATAAAAAGAGTGTGCACATAACAGTTCGCAATCTCGTTAGTTCTACCACAATTATTCAAATACTTATAATTAAACAAACAGCTTTTAATGACTGTGGAGTTTTTAGAGTATAATACGTTGAAAAAAGAAAAATACAAACCTGCTATTTTGTTACTTTTATTTTATTTAATTATATTTCAAGAAATATCTCAGAATTAAATTATCTATTTGAAATTTAAAATGCTTAAATATTGATATTCAGTTTTCACATTTTCTAGCAAAATGTGATCAAAGCACACAAATATAAATTGAATTGAATTGGCAATTTCACGCAAAAACCAATATCGATATGACCTGTTTGGTTGTATCGAAATCACATTTAAATTTCTTCCAGATCCTCTTGAGAATCATTCGTGAAATTGGTACGTTTGATATTGCCACTACAGAAAATTGACATTGCGATGAAACATTTTTTTAGATAAGTTGATGAGTACTGTTTAGCTATATTGAGTGAAAGAAAAATAATATTCGTGATTTAATTAAAGTTGACATATCGGACTCGATTTTTTATCTAGAAAGTTTTTTTATTTAATTATTTCTAATAAAATAAAAATAAATTCTATATAAAATTGATTTTGTATTCTATATATTTTGACAAATATATATTCATATTCGATATTTTTAATGCTAATAATGTACATAAATTTTGCATAAAATACATTTTATTAAACCTTGATAATAGTATCAAAAAGCGTCAAATTCACCGGACGTTTTGTCGATACCATTAATCCTTTATTATTGGTGATTCTATTGATTTAAGTGGCTTTAAATGCAGTATTGTTTTCCTCAATGTATAGAAAATATCCTAAATGCGGACTAAGGACATTCAAAAATTGCTATTGAACGTTTTTAAAATCGACAAGGTTTTATTTTGTAACTATAAGCCTTTTCATCATTGCCACTCATTGTTGGAAGTGACTCTGAAATCTCATATTTGAATGTAACGTAATATCAAGTGCATAAAAGTGTGAAAATCAATTATGAAAATATTCATAAAAACAAGGCATCTTCTTTCATGCAAGCAATTCAATATTAAAAAAGTGAGTAGTGGCATGGCCATAAGAAAGTAGTCACCTGGTAGAAAAGGACAAGCGCAACAAAGGTTTTGAGATTACATAAAGCAAAAACGATCGTCAAGGAACTTGAAATTAGGTTCAAGCAAGCGCGATAAGATTCTAAAAGGAAGTCCGCCAATCGAGAGTTCCTCAGTCGCGCGCAGCCCTCGAGGGGAGGGGGGTGGTGGTGGTAGCGGAAGTCTCAGCTGATTGTTTTGCCGTCGGTATACACAAGAGCAGAGTTTCTTGGTATCGTTGCGGAAATGGAATGGCCGCTTTGTTCCCAACGGGACGATTGAGTGGGCCAATCGGGTGGCACATCTACATCGTAGAAAGACGGGCTGCTCTGCCTCCCACGAGTTTCTTCTGCCGTTCGTGCGCACGATTACGCCTCTTACATCAATGCGATTAAGCGCGTCGGCAGTGATGTCAGCCGACCCAGTAAAATGCTCGACTTGTTTCGCGAGAGATCGCTTTATTGCACGTTTCGCCGTGTTTTGCTGCAGAGATAAACTTGTTTCTTAGTTGAATATGTTATTTGCTATAAAACTACCATGTTTCTGATATTTCATTATCTTCTTTTTTAACTAACTTTTGGTTAAATTCTTGACAATGGAATATTGGCTTCTGTCTTACTCGAAAATCTCTCAAACGGATTTACATTGGATTTTATCGAGGATGATTTAGCAATTGTGTTGAATTCGTTGTTAATATTAGAAATTCATAATTGCGATTTTGCACTAAAGTTTTAAAGGACAACATTCATTGATAGAATACACGAAAAGTACGGATTAACTTAAAGATTTAAGTTAAGACGCGTTTTAATCTTACATCTATGTAGAGTTTTTATTATATAATAGAACACTCGAAGAGTAAATTAGGTTCGATTCAATTATATCGTCATTGTTTAATTATTGTGGTATTTTAACACCCTTCAGATATTGAAATATATACTGTATCAGTTAATACTATGTTTATTGAGAAAGTTAGTAAAATCAATGCAATTAGTGCGTGAGTCGAATTAATTTGATCGATGGTTATATCTATTCCCTCACGAAGTTTCGGCAATGTACATGCATTAGTCATTGAAACTCAAACTGTTAATTTGCCTCTAATAGTTTCTATTTTCGATTGCCTAATCAATGAATACGTCGAAAGAAGCTACTTCATTATTACATTGTCCCTCGTGTATTTGCCTACGAACTTTACTTTGTAATTAGTTCTTATAAAGTTTCCCGACGACTATATATTCAATATAGTCAAATATTCAAATATTCTCTCTTAACGTGTATTCTTTACAAAATAGACGGAAAGATAACTAGGAGTATTAGTTTATCGCTTTCTATTTCATGGATCTAATGTATTTGTATTTCCAAATAAAGAGAATGTACCTGACTATACGAAGCTTTTTAGGAAATGTTTATTATATTTGAAAAATTTTTAAGTTAAATTAAGCGGAGAGTTTGAGTACTCACATACTGAAATATGAAATGCTAAGAAAAAGATGTGAAATCAGTTAGAGACAAAACTGGTATTTTGTGAGTTGCTCCAAATCAAACTTCTTACGTGCATTGTATTCCAAAAGAATTTTGGAATTCCGACACGTGAAAGTCACAAAATGATGATCTGTCGATTTAAAGGTGTTCCACTTTCTGAGCTTATGAAGCACTTCTGCTTTTATGATAGATGATGATTGGGTTATATGATTATTGAATTATTATAATTATTCAATAATTTAATAAATTATTCCTAGCATTACCATAGTGATGGATGTGGAGGTGTCAAGGGTTTAACATTACTGTTTTCCACGTTCAAAAGGAAACAAAAAATAATTCTAAATCCCGACTAATGAAATTTTTATAAATATAAAAGTAACGCTCTTAAATATTTTCTGATTTTTCAATAATAATATAGCAAATTATAATATTTTAACCTCTCAAGTAAAATTGTTTAATTACTTGATTGAAAAATTAATGAAATCTGCTAGTTATATAGTGTTTTAACGCTTCATACATGGCCTATTTTATAGGCGCAATTAGTTTCAAACTCATCTCGCTCGATCAGGTCATGCGTCAATTTCGATGATTCAGGTCACGGCTACCTCTATTATTCACAATAATTTCATCGCTTAGAGAGAAAGGCGATGTCGACGAGGAGAAAAGCCGCGCGTCGCCACCCACATTCGCGCGAACATCGTGAAAATTCAATTTGCCTGGTGAAAAGTGCGCGAACGCGAACGCCATCTAAGCGCTTTTCCATTATTTATTTTCCGCCCCCCCCCCCCCACCTTCATCCCTTTCACTCGAGCTCGTACGAGCATTCTTTGCGCAAATTATTTTCCATTTTCTAGCGCTCTCGAAGCCAAACTGCTAGAGGCAAGCGAACGAATCGATGGCATTAGATGAAAAAGTGCGTGCCAAATCGCGAATTATATGCAGCAGTTTTCTTTTCTTACTATACTGTATTTTTCGGTTAATACATTAGTCTCGAAACTTTTCTGTTTCCAATCATTCCTAATAAACTTGTCTATAAAATGGTCGCGATTCGTTATTTTTCTCATACACTTGCATGTCACCAATGGCTAGCGGCGCCAAGATATTTACTCGTTATGCACGAATGAGAAACGGAAGGTCTAAGAAGGCGGAACCTCACCATGCCGGTTTATTAAAAGCCGTCTATAAATTGTGCAAGACTTTTTGTTTGAGTACCGCAACTTTCTCACTTTATGCATATTTACCCTTTCGCCGCACTTGATCTTTAATCTTCTTCAATAAGCCCTTCCTCTTGGTATTCCAGAGATGAAAGAGAATGCCGACGATGATCAACACGATTTCAAATTGTGAATCACTTTATGTGCTCGCAAGTTTGACAAATATTCGAAAGCTTTAATACACGTATGTATATATAAGCTTTTTCTACATAGTTTGAGAGATTGCAAGAGGAGGAAGAACAGCTCGAAGGAAATCGTACGCTAGAATTTTATGTAGAGCCATAAAACTCAAGAGTCGATTGTGAAAATGTGCCTCTTTCAACGCGAGCGAGAGCGCGATTTAGAAACAAAATGCATAGCATTCGACGAATCAGCAAAGAGATATACGCGCCCGGAGAAGAAAAAAACAATAACCTTCAGTTTCGCGAATTCTACAAAAATTGAACTTTTCTTCGGTCTGGCATTGAAAAAAACGTTTTCGTTCGCTACAGCTTACAAATATCTTGCCTCTTTTTATTTAACATGTATAGTTTCCGCGAATTTCTCTAATATTCACGATTATTTTTCTATCTGAAATGAAAAGAGAAAAACGTAGCTCTAGGAAAAAAAGAAAATGTTTCAGTTTTAAACCTCAGAAAAATGCTTAATTTGAAATAGAATTCGTCATATGCGCAAAAACTTAGCCGCATTATTTATGGTTATCGCGCCGAGATGCTTATAGCACGAAGTATTTAAGAAGCTTTAAGCGAATAAGCTCACATTAAGAATGTCATAATTTTGCGCGAAAGTTTCTCGCTTTATTCATAATTCCGTGAAGCAAGGCGCTCGAGCTTGAGCTCGTAAACACTCGTTTCCACTAATCCAAAGAGCGTTCAAGTCGGATTATCAATTTTTGAAAAAGAATCGGCGTATACTTTTCGTTACTTTTTCTTCGCTCTACTTGCACTCTGCTACTGCTTCATTCATTGGGCCAAATTAAATCCAACGTGATCCAGTTTCCGTTGGAAGGGTGAGCTAATAAAAAATGAATGAACTTGGAGAAAATCCCGAGGCGTAAAACTGCGCCCCGGAAACTTTGCTCTCGAATCCACCTTGATCTTAATAGCGTTCATAATGAACACTGCCTAATCGTAATCCATTACCCCTCCGAAAAATCTTGGCGAAAAGTTATTCGCGCACGATTAAGAAACTTAATAGATTAAACTTTTTCATGCACAACGACTGCTTCTTAATCATTTGTTTTAATTAATTGTAGAACCAAGGCGATGGTACCGTAGTAGAACTATCGTTTGATCGTTACTCATTGATAGCAATAGCATAACGCAATTTAAAATTTGTTGAAAATTTCCTCGGCAACGATAAGTCAGTTGTCTGAGTTAGATATAATTGGCTGATTTAGTATAAAAACGTGAAACCGATTTATGACTGCCATTAAAAGTCATCTTCATAAAACTAAAACCGTAGTTGGGCGCGTAAAAGTCTATCTATATGCCATGAAAATGCATAAATTAAATTGAAATGAAACTACACCGTTATTCAATATCTTTTCAATTAGAAATAATACTATTTATTTCGAGAGCAACATTAGAAATCAAACTATAACGTCAACTATTCCTTCTCAAAGGCATTACTTCCAACTTAGAAGCTCAATGAATTTCGAGCATACCGGTAGTAATGAATTTCAGAAGCAAAGACTATGGGCCATTGAACAATAAGGATGATAAATCCATTAAGCTCTCGAGTTCGCATTTCACTCGAAAGAACATAGATGTTAGCATTCTTCGTCGTAATATTGCGAGCGCATCAGTTAAGAGGATCATTCGGCACGTCCAAGTGCAAGTTACTCAGCCGGTACATGACAATACACACAGCTTAGTGGAACTATGGAATTCCCATTGAGCAGACATAAGAACTACGGCAGTATTTCGTACAGCGTGAATTCCGCGGCAGCAATATACGTACGTTCATCGCTTTAGATGCATACCTTCGCTTCTTCTACATATACGTAGATGACGACAGAGCAGCACGTGCGCGCATAAGAGTGGCCGCAGGTGTGTATAGGTATATGTATGCAATATGAAAGCCTCGTATTCTCCTAGTTAGCTAACGAGCGTTCGTATCCTCAGGGCACGCTGAATTTCACGAAACAACTTCGCAACAATGGCATCTCTCGCCGCTAACAGGCATTGCCGACTTCCGCGCGCTCTTCTGCCAACGCGACGCTTGTCTTTCTCACATACACTCCTTCGACAGCCGCACACGTTCCGCGACGAATAAAATGTGACGGCTCGATACGCGATACACCTGCAGCAATTTTCATCCCACGCATGGCTTAGAGCTGATTTAGCTTCAGCTCCGTTAACGATAGTTTCCAAGACCCTGACTATCATTGATATTATTCCTGAAGAGCCTTTGTTTCGGTATTTATATTTTTCAAATATGTTGGTTTCTCGTATCAAGGCGTTGTGCAAAACAAAACTTACGTATATAGAGGAACTCCAGCTTCGTCTTTGAACCACAGGACCATGCTAACTTTGTCTTGTGGACGAGTAATTGAAGTTATGTCGCATGGAAGCTCCACGTCTTCTCCTTCGATTGCCCATATTTTTTCATCGACGACAGTGTTTACTGAAAATAAAGACGAAATACATTCAGAAAGACGAAAATTACATAATTTTAAAAATTTCGTATCATAATATCAATACACTTGTAACTGAATCATGCTGTCTTTCACTTATAGTTAAAGAATCAACTCTATCACTATAGTAGACATAGCTAGACAAAGTAACTGAATGAAAAAATGTACGCCCGCCTTTGAACTAGCAATTTCGAAATTCCGACTGGGCAAGTAGTAATTTCCCGAATGGACAGACCACGTCGCATCGTCGTCACCGTTTGTCGTCGAGAACTAGTACCGAGAAGCAAGTAGGTCTCTCTTTCTTTTTCTGTCTTGTTCTTTCTACCTCTCTTACTCTTTCACTGCTATCCCGTTCGATCTACTCTTGCACTCTCGAAATTTCTATTTTGATACTGCACGCATGCTCTGTCCTTCTCTCTCAATCCCTTCGACTGTTTTTCTAGCACCCCGCCATACGCTTTGCCAGTTCTCGTTCGAGTCAAAGTACTGCAGAAAAGAGAAGTAACGTACCGCGACATATTCTACACTGAGAGAGTGAGAGTAGGACGAGGAGAGGGAAGGAAGGAAAATGCAAGTGGGACAAACAATTCCGCGATAAACAAAGCTGGCCTCATTCACAATTTTCGATAGAAATATAAATATATAACCGTGGAGATACAGGCGAATCACCTATTTATTGAAGCTTAAGACATTAATGAGAACAGGAACAGTACATACGTGCAGTACAAATAGGTTGATTTTTACGAATTACATACAAATATTGATATCATTTCCATGTAAAATCGAGTTATAAGTACAAAGGACGAATATACTGGGTGCTCAAAATACTAAATTTTTAATAATTTTCAAAAATAGCTATATGCAGGTTGCTTATACATTAGAATAATTCCCTATCCTAGCGAGAGATTTCACACTCTACTTGCACTGCCACCCGGAGAATCCTACATTTTCTACTCGCAACTACCAAGTCAGTTTTAATTTCTTTTTCTGCGAGCACGCATTAAATCTCTCTCTCACTTTTTCACTGTACTTTCGTTATGACAGCTCTAAAATGTACCTTGGGAGCAAACGAGTAGAGCGATTGAGCCAAAATAAAAAAAAATATTAAAGTGCAACGGGAAGCCAAAGTACTCGTGAGTATCATCTAAAGATCCTCGCTCTCAACTACTTCTTGTTTTTCTTTCTTTTTTTTTTTTTACACTCCTCTACCTTTCGTAATACTTGGCGGAGTTTTCCAAGGCGGTTCGTTTCGCTCTACGTGCAGTGAATCCGATTGGCTTTCGTTACATCGAGTGCGTTACTGAATAACCTGCTCCATGAACAATATTTATCAACTGGTTCGCTGATCATTACTCGTGAGAATTTTTTTCTTTTTATTGAATTTTATTTCTGAGCTATTGCTAAGGCAATTTTATATCCTATGATATTACTTTCATTTTGTCAATTACAGTTAAATATATTTTATTTGTCATTGTCTTTTTATAGATAGATATTTAACAGAATCGAAAATCGACAAAATTTATAAAAAATGAAATAGCTTGATATCGATTCCACTAAATAATAATTACTTATGAAAACTGATAAATCATCAATGTTCTGTAAAGTACATTAGACGTACTCGTGCCAATGAAAAGAGTTAAATTATTTGAAAGTTTCACAGCCGACGCATCATTACCACTCATTCAACTCATGTAACCGAACGTTCACTGGCGAAAAAATCAAATACCTCGTAGTTCATAAAAGACCTTCGGAAAAGTTGAAAATTGAATCACAAGGCAGCGACGACGCATAGTTGTAAGTTGGCTTAAAGCTCGAGCTCGCGTATTATACGACAAGTGACGCATATGTGTACGCAACTTGTTTTCAATTCGGTCTTAATGGCATGCGAGCGAGCGAGTTTGGATTATACGGAAAGCAGGACTCCCTCTGCGCATGTACGTATACATGCTAGCAAAGGTCGAAGAGCCAGCATAGGATTCGTACGTATACAAGAATCGGCAAGCGTAATTCACTTGAAGGAGGAAAGCGATAAATTTTAGCAACGCGATCCCACTAGAGAGAGAGAGAGAGAGAGAGAGAGAGAGAGAGAGAGAGAGAGAGAGAGAGAGAGAGAGAACTGCATCCCCCTTCACGCAAGCTTTTCCGCGATTTCTCGCCTTTACTTTCTCCACACAGCGATACCACCGAGAAAACGCTTCTGACTGAGACTCTGCCAGTCTACAATTTTTCATGGGCTCTTACCAACCATCCCTATTTTCTCTTTCTCAGATTTCTCTACCTTGAGTAATTTCTAACGCTCTTTTTTGGAACGTGATCTAGTAGTTGCTCGCTTGTTACTTTCGGATTGTTACGAGTATAGGTAAAGAATTTGAACTAAATAAGATCTGTAACAGAATTCTTTTTAATGCTACGACATGAACAGTAACGGAAGCACGAGAACAACTAGTAGTCAACGATGACAAACTTACCGGAAACCAAGGTATATGCATAGTTGCAAATGGAATTGTGAACGTGTAGATCCGGAGAATACGTTATTGGTAAAGTGAAGGCAAGCGAGATGTATAAAGAGCAGCGTTCGAGAAGAGACTATACAGTAGGAGATGGAGTTTGGGTTTATTTGTTGAGCTTCTACGGACACGCTTGGGATAAAGGGCTCAGTAGCCAAGATATACGTCGTGACAATAACGACTGCAATACCCTGTTATAGCAGCCCATAATGAATTTTATATATATATGTCGAGCGAGGTAGTTATGCATAATCAGGCTCTCTCAAGTGTAAAGACCTGCAGCACTATACACCTTACTCACGCGATCTCTCCGGTATCATTTATGGCGTATATTCTCATGTGTGCTATATTAATATTTTAGTCGATTGAACTCGTCCGAAGGATTGCTTATTCAACGCGCACTCATGAGTGTTGGTGTCAGTAACGTTCACTTGGGTAAATACAGTTAGTAATCAAATTTAAACACTGAACTTTACACGATATTGGTTAAAGAGCTTGTTGAGTTTGTGCCTCATTAGGACGTTGTAAAACGTTTTAAAGAAGAAAAGGAAAACCGAAGACGGATGATCGGATAGGACGAAGTACCACAGGCGAGTCTAGATTGGCAATTCAACGATACGTAATCGTGGGATTGGTCACGAAGACACGTATACAGTTTGGGATGGCCCACTTGGAAAATCGGTAAACGGATGCTCAAGCCATGCGCACAGTACGATTGGTGGAGTAATGATTCCAGATAACCAAACTGTTCGCGGCGTCGCGTAAAAGTAGCGGTTTCTTATAACAATGGACTCGCGATATACCAGGCCACCGCACGAATGACACTGACGCACACTCACGTATAATGTGTGTGTGTGTACGAATCGATGCCGTTCGATGTTAAGTTCTGAAGAGTGAAGGAAAGACCGAGTGAGAGTAAGGATAAGGGAGGGAGAGAGGTCTATTTCGCAGCAACTTTCTCGAACGATCGGAATTAAACTTTCCACCCTCTCGTTACGGAGTCGCCCGCGGCTCTCCTCTTCCCCCTTTCTCTTCCCGTTCATCATCGATCGATCGATCTTTTTCAACGCGACGCCATACTACTTTGTCGCGTTCTTTCAAAAACCAATTTAAGTGCTGATTGTTACAAACTATGCGAGAGAGAAGAAAAAAAGAAAAACAAGTGGCAAAGGGAAATTTGCCGTTCGTTAGGACGATCCTACATAACGACGCTAAACGAGGTTAAGAAACTACTTCGATATTTTATAGCTGCTGCGCAAGCTGCTTTCTTTCTCTACCCCTTGTCATTTGTTATTTCTACGAAATAGGAAAAAAGCAGAGAGAAAGAAAGAAAGCGGTCGAGCGCTTTCGTTACATTAGTCGTTAGGCAAGTTAGAAGAACGAGGCAAGAATGAAGGGGGAAAGGGTTTAATTCATTTGAAGGAACTAACCAATCTCAATCCAATTCTCCAAATGGATTCCGTTCGAGTGCAAATTTATTCTTATTCGCCCTGCCGCCCGACTCGCTACGTGGCGGCGGGCCTGAATGCTCGCGGCCATCGATTTTCAAATTCAGGCCATCGGTTAAGCCATAATGATATCCTTTCCATTGATATGTAGCATTTTTTATTTTGAATTGATATGCGTCAATCTGATTCTTTCGAACGTCTGCTGTTGTGTATTATAACTCTTGATCTTATATGATTATTGATACTTACAGCAACGCACTTGTTTCTCTAGGACCACAGAGGAGAAATCTTAAAGCCAAACATCTAGAAATCCGTCTAAGCTGCTTTTCCAAGTTACAACCGATTAGACTGTTGCCTAGAGGATTCGCCGAGAAAAGAGCTGTTCATCAGCCGGTCAGCTAGCATTTCCTCTGTCTCTCTGAGACTGTCGCGCGATTAAGGGCTGAAATTTCATGGAAGTTTCTGCAAAAAGGAGGATATATCCTTTTCTTTCTTTCCCGCTCTCAGAAGCTCGGCCATTTGTCAAAAAAGCCGTGGCTGTATGCGCGCGGCGAAAAGAAATTTTACACGGAAAAAAAGGAAAACCTTCTGCTCAAAGTCCGCGCTGCTTTAATCGCGCGGCCGCGCATCCGAGATTTAAGAGCGAAATGGAAACGAGCGAGACAGGCAAAAAACTGGACGGGCAATCGTTCCTCGCTTGCTCTCTTGCCCAATCCGCCACGCAATTTCTGTTTTTTATGTCCTTATCCGTTATTAAGCGCATAAGCATAATTCGACGATTGCACGAATTCCTCGGTCGTTCTCTCTTGTTGTTGCTGGAAGTAGATGAGACAGAAAGAACGTCGTGGTCTAGGCTCATATTTGAATAACCAGCGTCGTCGTAGTCGTCGTCGTCGTCATCGTTGTCGTCGTGGCTGCCGTATACAGACGACTCATTGCCGCGACACGCGGCTACATATATACGACATAAGTGAGTGCACCTGCATCTGAGAAACGCGAGCAAGCGGGCGTTGCATTTGAACTTTATGGGCCTGG